GCAGTCTAAACCATAATCTTGCGAATAACCGAGGTCCAAGGAGAGCTTTTAGGCACTACTTGCAACACTTCTCCCAACTTAACCCCATTTATACTAATTTCCTTTGGCATAGCCATGACCTAATCAACTTCAGTCAGCATTCCCAATGATCCGAGCCCCTATCAATTTTGCGCCACTATCAAAATCTCTGCTGAAGTCAAGGTACACAAAATCACAAACCTTATCACCATTTCCTCAGCTATGCAACCTAATCCATGAACATTTAGTAATAAAACTATGCGATTCATGTATCTAGTTATGTTTCTCAAAAAGAGTAGAGAAATGGCACTTGCAATGTTAGATTCTAGCAACTTTCCTCACAATAGACTAAGCTAATTGGTCACTAACTAAAGCGTTAAAGTTAACTCAAACTTTTCCTTTAAAACTTGCTATATTAGTAACTTTCCACGACCGGCCTTTACCCGACATAATTAAATAGGGTAAAAACGGTATATTAAATGCAGTAAAACTACGGTAAATTCAATATGATAAACTTGCATTCTTTAAGCATGGGCTGCATAGTAAGTGAACTAAACTAAATGTTAAGCACCCTGGCAAACCACTTCGTTCTATTCAATTTCTTTATTTAATCACTTTGTCCGGCTAGAATTTTTAGATTAGATTAAGGGGGCATATCTTTCTAAATCGTTATAAATTAAAAAAGTTGTTCAATTTGCTTATAAATTTTTTTATGAAATGGTTATAGAAAGGGCTGCAATTGGTCTAAGTTTCACCATCACACCCTAAGCAGAAAAGGAGAAAAAAAATACACAACGTATTATGCAACGAATGTTCAACATTCTCAAATAATTTCAGGGAACACATGTGTCAACTAAAATGTCTACTATATGCTGTAGAAGCACAAACTCTTGTAATAATTGTAATATGTATGTGCAATATATTTATATTTAATTTTTTTTTTCCTTTTTTTTTGGCCAATATTGTTTTCTCGTTTGTTATCAAGGGATTTGCATGAAACTTTCACACCTTGCTCAATGGATGCCTATCTGCAAGGGTGCCAATTATGAACGAAATCTGTCGAAGTCAAGCTCAGCTACAGGTGGCCGAACTTGTATCTTTATTTTAATCTGGAAAGTAATTTACACTTTCAAATTACTTCAGAGCTTTCATTTAATCAATCAATTTACATGCAAATTACACCTTATATGTAGCGTTTGTGCTTCTACAGAATCTAGTAGACATTTTAGTCCAAAGTCTATTTGTTGATTTCATAAAAATTTATAAATATCATATATTGCATATTTTTTTAGAAGGGTAACTTTGAAAAATTATATTATTGCACTAAACACTTTATTGATAAAACTGATCACTAGAATCCTTTATTATGTGCTTAATTTAATATCTGAGTGTTATAGAAATGATTTTAGTTGACACGTGTTCCCTGAAACGATTTGAAAATTCGTTGCATAATTCATTGTTTATTTTTTTCTCCTTTTCTGTTTAGGGTGTGATGAAACTTGGCCCAGCTGCAGCCCTTTCTATAACCATTTCATAAAAAAAATTATAAGCAAATTGAACCACTTAATTTTACATTGATATGCCCCCTTTAAAGGAACACCCTCCCTGGTAACGGCTGAACTAGTTAACCAAATACAAATATTTAGGTAAAATACTTTCATAAAACCTGTCTACTTCCCCCACCAGTAGACTTGTTCAGCTAAAGGCATAATGTAATGTTCCACTTTAGTAAATAAAGACTTAAAAAAACACTACCCCATCTATGTAGTTACCGGTTACCTGACATTCTACGCTTAAAATAACCCATCTATTCCCCATAATTGTTCGATATAACTTACCTCTCACCCGCTGGTCGAGTACACAGCAGTATATATCCTCCTCCATCACTCACCGCGTGGATACTATTTCACTCTGGCCGCAAATTAACTCAAATCACCTACGTTGTCCATAAACATATATAGAAGAGCAACTGACCGTAACACCCGTTTAGCGATCATCACATAACGTGGGAACATTAGTAGTACTGCTGTCAAAACATAGATGGCGCCAGGACAAACGGTAATTCCTATGGACTCGCCTAGTTATGCGTAGGGAATTGAGCTTCAGCTGTTTGGTCCCGCCCCTCAGCTGTATTCACCTAATTTGTGCTTGCAGGGGTTGAGCTTTGGTTCTTTGATCCCGACTCTCAACCGTCAATCAACAGGTGTACAGGTTCCTGAGCCTATTGGGCTCTATCACATCTACATTTGAAATTGTGTATGGAGTCAGCCTCCACCACATCACTGCTTAATACATTCCATTTGTTAACTACTCTGACACTGAAAAAATTCTTTCTAATATCTCTGTGGCTCATTTGGGTACTAAGTTCCCCTTGTTCGTGTTCCACCCGTGTTAAAGAGCTGTCTTTGTAACTATCAAAATGCATATATCTTTGCTTTCACTTCAGTTATATTTATGACAAGGGATTTAAAATTTGCTTATATTTCTGCTTCTCTGATGACATTAAAAACTTTCGTTTAATACAGTATCTACATAAAATTAACATTTATCTTCATTAGGTTGTAGTTCTCATCAATAGGGAGAGCGTCGGTAAAAAAAAAATTGTTTAAATTTAAATATCTTTCCTCTCTCAATAATATGCCCGAAACGCTATGCGTACTAGTGGCTTTAGGTATTGTGTGTACTAGCTCTATCTATAAATCCAATATTATGTTTGTAAATCGACTATTTATGTACTTTCCTGAATAAAATGAACTTTACTAATATCTAATCTCTGTGACTAAAACGTAAGAACGACTTTATCTATGCCTTTTTGATAACATATACAATTATAAGCTTTATTAGTGAATCTCTATTAATTAAACAATATATCAGAGTGTGTGTAAGGTTCGGTGTTCCATGTGCGAAGAGACATGGGAGATTTTACATCAGTACAGTAAATGTTTGAAGTAGCGAACGCATTCTAACGAATAACGATTAGTATAGACCAACACTATTGTTCTATGAAGTCGATTTAACTTCCAGACATGTATTTTTCAATAAGTCTTAAATATTTTCTGGCTAGTTATGTTAGATATTATTAGAAATACGTATTCTACTTGTTAATATAATAAACTAAATTTGCGATCATTTAAGGAGAGAAGTGCGACGACTGGATCACTGTGTACAGAAGGTTGATATGCCAACAAACACTTTCCAGACAACAATATATCTTGAATAAGTCGCTCCACAACATTGACACCTGGACCGTTGACTTTCTATGAGGCCACATATTTACTTATTTCATAATGGAAGTATATTATTTTATAGTAAATATATGTTTTCTCGTGTTCTGCATTAAGCACCAACATTATAGTGAATAAATATACCATATTTCTTCATTATTTAAGTAATGCTAGGAGGCTTTGAGTAGCTTTGGGTCATTAGGTGAACAGAATCTCCAATAGATAGGGCGAGAGTCGCGCTATCTCTCACCCGAGCGAGAGTCGAAACTTATTTTAGAATTAATATATCTTTGTCCTCCAACAAGATATATTTCCTTTGGTGCACTCACAATAACGAGCATATCTCTGTCTTTCTGAAGGCATATAATATTTTAGGCTTTATAAGCGTATCTTTGTTAATTACACACTATATTGGCAAGTGCGTAGGCTTCTGCATTCCATGACCGACAAGCTACTGAATGCCACTATAAAAACGTATGTATCTTCACTTGAGCTTTATATATGTCTATGTTAAAGTATTTAAAATGAAGCTTATATTTCTATCTTTCTTGAGACATATAAAACATATGTGTTTATTAATGAATTTACGTGAAATAAGCATTGTTCTGAGAGAGAGTTGCTCTGTCGATCAGTCTGTGCGGGGTCGGAGCTCGGCGATTATTAAAACACATGTATCTTCATTAGAACTTTATATATATCTATGGTAAAGTATTTAAAATGATGCTTATATTTCTATCTTTCTCAACACATATAAAAACATTTGCGTTTATTAACGAATTTACGTGAAATAAGCATTGTTCTGAGAGTTACTCCGTTGCTCGATCTGTGCGGGATCGGAGCTCGCCGATTAGAAAAATACACGTATCTTCGCTTTAAATACAAATATGCCCATGGTAAGGCATTTAAAATGAAGATTATGTTTCTATCTTTCTTGAGACGTATAAAAATCTTACGTTTATTAACGATAAGCATTGTTCTGAGATGAATATTGCGGATTTCCGGCTCTACGACCGATGAAAAATGCAACTTTTATACAACTACAAATATCTTTAGTTTTACTTTAAATTTTGTCCTGAAAGAGTTTTCATATATAGATCCAGTTTCTGCCGTTCTTCTGACATAAAAAGACCTTTGGTTTAATAAGTTATTAAGATGTTTTCAACAATATTACTAGGGCGTTCACCGATTCTAACATGGGCGACCCTTTTGGAAACGCAACACATGGGTTGACCTGATTGATATATGGGTCAGATTCCATTAAGGTTCGGAACAGCTGCACCCTGCGTGACGTGACGGGGGATGTCTCCCGTCGTGGGTCGTCCCCAGCGGTGCTCCTCCTTTTAAAGTAGTCCTACAGCCTCATACATTCTCCCACACTGATGCAAAGACTTTTATCTCCTATTCTCCCCAGCCTGGACACCCAACCATCCACCGAGAACAGCCCCTACAGCGGGAGATCCTTTGACCCAAACGATCCCTGCGGTGTACCATTTTCAGGGTTATATCTTGAGATGATTTCGGGGCTTTTTAGTGTCCCCGCGGCCCGGTCCTCGACCAGGCCTCCACTCTGTGAAATAAATAAATAATAATAAGAAATAAATAATTACTGTAATTCAGGAAATAGCTATGATTTATTTTATTACGATTAAATTAAGGTATGAGCTGCGATTTAATCTTTTAACATAGTTATCCCATTAAACAGTTTTCTGTAACTTGTACAACTTGTGAGAAGAAGCGACTACAACAACAGTTCAAACACCCCCGGGATGATCAGCTCCGCCTCTCACTCGTACTCTCCCTCCTCCTTATCGTCATTATTACTAATTTTACCCTCTAATTTTATTATGTTGGTTTAAATGTGTTGACAACTCTTTATATTATTTTCTATCTTCACTGAATAGTTATGAAAAGGTTCGGTCACATCTTATACAAGAACTAACAAATGATTTAGATAATTTATCTAAATTTACCTTAAAACCACAATAATGAACCGGCTGTTACCAGCGCCTTGTGAGCTTCAGATCACCATTTAACTACAAAAATAACTACTACTAACTACTACTAAACCTATTGTCAGTATTCACAGTAGAATTAAATATTCAGCCATCGGGAGGCTAATACTTTCATGCAAACTGCACATACCATCAAGATGAAGAATTGTATGTAGTACAAAGTTCAAACAGTAATAACCAAATTACTAGTTGGGCAATGCACATTCTGCAGTGACTACAAAAATGCAAGCAATGTTATATTACATAACCCTACAAAATATGCAAAGAGCTAGTTTACCCCCTGCCTACAGCTGCAGCAACACCCTCCAGTATACTATATGCCCATACCAGGGGTACTACCACACTGAAATACTCCACAATAAAGTTGTTGAATTATCAAAAACAACACATCACACACAAGTCAATTCCTCATAGTGTGACACACAAAGGTACCCAGAAATTGTGCGACTTCTGAGTAAACTGGAAAATGTGCTTAACAAACTATGAAACGAAAAAACAGTCTTGGGATCCTTGTGAACACACCAACCACAAAAATGAAAAATATATATAAGATTAGTCTATGGCCGGCACACATGAAACTAGCAGCACTGCTACATAAACAAGAGAGGAAAATTGCATTTACTGCTATGTTTCAGATACAAATATTATGTCCTCTGCTAATTGAGACATCACACTGCCATAACAAACTTTAATTAATCACTCTCAAAGTGAGCTTAAATCAAATCAAAATCAAATCAAATGTTTATTCAGGTAAAAGTACATACATAGACGAGTTGCAAACAATGATGGATTTACAGATAGGGCAAGTACGTGCAATACCTAAAGTACGTACAGTACACACAGCGTTTTTGGCAAGTAAACATTGAACACATTAAGTACAGTATTAGGAGACCTCCCACTACAGAATTGGTTATGAATGTTTTCTATCACCGGATGCCTCGGTTCATCTAGCAGTAAAAAGATACTTGGGAGTTTGTAAGTTTTTTGTGGGGTTGCTGCCTCTCCCTAACAAAATTTATTATTATATAAAACAACAAGTAGTCAAAACATTGGCTAAATATCTCCAAACCAACAAAAATTAAGCTACATCAAAACTATAAAAGTAATTGAAAATACTCTTAATTCTAACCATGGCAACAACATATGTTATCACCTGATTCCAACAATACAACATCCATCCATCCACCGTGAAGTGCTCACATCAAGACTAATTCCAAGAAATAGTAATCAAACCTTGTCTGATCAACATAGTGAAGCCTAACTCATCACTATATGTGGTGGCTATGAGTGATACTGAGAATGTTGGAGGATTTTGTGTTTGTGAAGATATTTTTGTACCAGTTATCCTGACTAAATTGAGTCTCCAGTGACTCAATACCCTTATGTGATCCAGCAGTGGTGCAGTAGTCTGTGGAGATGATGCCCATTTGGCATTTTGCCTGATTGTAGTTCTCATACCTTCTATAATGTGCATAGGTTAATATCTTTGGGAGTGGCAGAATAATGTGCTGAGAAAGGAGCTTCACAAACATTCCAAAGCTAATTTTCTTTTAATGGCAATATTTTGTTATTTGATGCATTGTTTCCTCATTCTTAAATTTTTTTTGGCATAGATGAAAGAATGGCATGAATGTCTATTTAATAAAGACTAAGATCTACAAGTTTTTATGAATATGATAAATTACAGTACAGTACGATATATGAAGTAAGTAATTTTCAAGAGAAGGCACCAAGCCAGAAATTATATAAAGCTAAAATTTATACTTTTCCTCAACACTGTATTTAACACTAAAAATGTTTACTTTACTTTCAGAATTATTTTATTATCAAGAGATTAATGAACATAAAATGGATTGGATTAATTGCAACTCGTGCTGTCGACAACCGGGAGATGAAAAAGAACGAACCTTTGTTCTTACAAGTTGTGGGCACATCTTCTGTGATCTGTGCCTTAGACAAGGTATTAAAATACAGTATGTTTGATATGAGGCAAGGGGTCACATGTTTGTTTTAGATTCAGCTACTTGGAACAAATGTTCCAAGTAGCACAGGCTATGGTGAGCCTGTAGTGGACTCAGGTTACATGATATATACATTTTACATTGTAAAATCAAAAGTGATTTGCTGAAAATTTGATGCAACACTTTTGACTCGATAAGACAAGTTTAGGATTGATGAAAAATTATTTTTTGGGTTGAAAGTATAAATGTATTTTTTATTTTTATAATACCGTCCTGTATTTGCATTGTTAAATTTAGTGTTCAGCTTATGATGATACAGTTCTCTTTTCGTTTGTTCTTTATCTCAGCTCGGTTACATTTTTGTCAAGGAAAAATTTATAATGCCTTTAAAGTTAATAATACTTTTTCACTACTTCCATATTCTATTGTTTTCTTAAAATGTGCAGGAACCAGGGGTACCTTCCATGGTTTTAGGTGAATTGTATTTGAACCATTGTTAATGTCGTTATAATTAGCCAGAGAAGTACCCTTCTGTACCTACCTACTGTGGTACCTCAAGCTCAAAAGGTACCATCTTATGCTGAAACCTTTCCAGAATGGTGTCTTCCATTGTACATGCCTAGTTTTGTAGTCAGATAGCTATTTCAAACCTTTCATAGTATAATTTGCTGTGATATTGCCAGTTATCATATATACAACAATGATCACAAAAACACTGATCCAAGTCTGCAGAAAAATCACATTTGAAAAATAGAAAATGCTTAACGCGTTTTTGGCTAATTCACCTTCATCAGAGCAAAGTAAAATGAAGATGAACCATTGTTGATCAGACAATTTTATACCTGCCAGGGCAGATCACCTGACCACCAAGAAAAGGAAATATAAAGAGGAAGGTAACTGCAGAAGGCCTATTGGCCCATACAGTGCCTATTAATATGCAGAACCAGAAGATATATAAAAGTGCCATACAGGTTAAATGGATGCTATATTGTATTGATGTGCTATATTGAGGCTTATATGGGTATCCAACTTGTACATACCAGGGCTCACATTACGGCTGTTGTTACAATGTTTGATCAGAGCAGACTCGATCACATTTCGTCCAACGAAACCCTTACTTTTAACAATACATTTTGCCCCTCTGAAGTCGATTGAATGATTGCATAAACTGGAATGTAAATGCAATGCATTGGAGTGCTGGGCTGTACGAATAGCATATGAATGTTGTTTTAAACGCGAGGAAAGATATTTACCTGTCTGACCACTTGTAATGAGTGTGCATGTGTTTAATAATAACCAAGTTAATAACACACTTTATTAAAGATAATTTTTTTTGCCCTCAAGAGTTTTTATAAACATTTTGAACACAAAAATGTGCTATACATCAAGACTGACTATAATATATGTTTCAGGCGAGTCGCGTGACAAGTGTGCAGCGTGTTCTTCACAATGCCAGTTAATCCAGTTATCATCTAAGGTAGGATATACTAAATTGCAATAATACTTTTCAACAAACTTTAATACAGTACAGTACCTTTATATAATATATATTATATATACAGTATTATATATATATTTGTAATATATATATAATACTGTATACAGTAATATATATATTTGTAACCAGTGACAGCTAGAATAATGTCGTTATAATTAGCCAGAGAAGTACCCTTCTGTACCTACCTACTGTGGTACCTCAAGCGTACCTTCTTGAGGTTATCTTGAGATGATTTCGGGGCTTTTTAGTGTCCCCGCGGCCCGGTCCTCGACCAGGCCTCCACCCCCAGGAAGCAGCCCGTGACAGCTGACTAACTCCCAGGTACCTATTTACTGCTAGGTAACAAGGGCATTCAGGGTGAAAGAAACTTTGCCCATTGTTTCTGCCTCGTGCGGGAATCGAACCCGCGCCACAGAATTACGAGTCCTGCGCGCTATCCACCAGGCTACGGGGCCCCTAATGGTACCTCGAGGCACCTCAAGGTACCTGTGGTACCTACCTACTGTGGTACCTACAGTCTCCGTGGTGTAGTGGTAAGACACTCGCCTGGCGTTCCGCGAGCGCTATGTCATGGGTTCGTATCCTGGCCGGGGAGGATTTACTGGGCGCAATTCCTTAACTGTAGCCTCTGTTTAACGCAACAGTAAAATGTGTACTTGGATGAAAAAACGATTCTTCGCGGCAGGGGATCGCATTCCAGGGACCTGCCCGAAACGCTACGCGTACTAGTGGCTGTACAAGAATGTAACAACTCTTGTATATATCTCAAAAAAAAAAAAAAAAATAAGGTCTGCCTTGCCTGGAGCCCATGTCATTAGGGCCGAGAACAGCACCCTCCTTGGAGCCCACTTCGGGTCTAACGCCATTGAGGAGATCCTTGATAAGAAAATCACAGACCTCAGGAGGATGGAAGACAGAGTAGGTGACCGATGCCCACGATGCTTTATATCTCCTCACTAAATACCTATCCCTTCCGAGGCTAACCTACTTTCTGAGGTGCACCCCATCTTATGACAGCCAAAAGCTTGAAGAGCTACCAAAAGCTTCAGTAAAACCTCTTACTTAAGACCATGCTAGAAAAAGTTGTTAACCTCTCCCTCAACGAATGCCAGTGGAAACAAGCCACTCTTCCTGTCAGGCTCGGTGGCTTGGGTGTCCGCACCCCCCATCCAAATTGCTGTTCCAGCCTTCCTGTCTTCCTCCTCAGCATCAGATGACCTGGTTAAGGAAATTCTACCTGACACCCGGAGTGATGTAACGGGAATACAGGACCCCCACTACACAGAATGCAACACGAAATGGGGTGCCATGGCAGATCAGACACTCAGACCAACCATGCCGAAAGTCAAGAAACAATCCAGCTGGGACAGCCCCATTGTAAACAAAGAACCCACAGCTTTGCTGGAGGCAGCAACAACCCCCAGTGATCATGCACGCCTCACAGCTGTGCAGGCTCCCCATGCAGGGGTCTTCCTTTTGTCCCTGTCTGCAACAGGCACACGTCTTGATCCACAGGAGCTCCGTATTTCAGTCACTCTCTGCCTTGCTGCCCCTATCCACACTGTTCATAAGTGTATTTGCGGTGAGGCAGATGCTGACGAATATGGATTGCATGGCCTGCATTGTGGAAAATCTGGTGGTTGGCACACTAGACATGACAAAGTCAGTGACATCATTACAAGAAGCCTTGCTTCTGCCCAGTGTCCAGCGGAGAGAGAGAGCCCCACAACCTATTGAACCGTGACTGTGAGCTTTGCCGGCCTACCGGAAGGAATCACACTGCGCCCTTGGAAGGGTGGCAGACAGTTGGCATGGAATTATACTTGCGTATCCACCCTGGCAACCACATACATCAACCTCTCTGCCGGCCAAGCAGGAGCCGCTGCAACACACAGAGAAAGATAGAAGTCAGCCAAGTGCAGGGAATTAGATCAACGGTACAACTTCGTTCCAATAGGGTCTGAGTCCCTAGGCCAATGGGGAGAGAGTGCAAGAAGGTTTCTTAAGGATCTTGGTTCCAAGCTCATTGACACTACAAGAGACCCTAGAGCAGCAAGTTTTCTCTCCCAGCACCTGAGTGTCGCGATCAAGAGAGGGAATGCCCCTGCGTCCTCGGTTCCTGCTCGGCGTCGGAGGAGTTCAAAGAAATCTACAGCCTCTAGGAAGCGAACTTTTTCTTGTGTCCTCTCAATGTTCATTTTTTTTTATAAAATCAGATATGTAACTGTATAACCTTGCATAATAAAGTGTACACCATAAAAAAGGGGTGGTAGGAGAAGCGAACACTCATATGTATTCAGAGTTAAATGGCAAGTTTTTCTCTGAATGCTCTGTGTTCCCTTCTTTGAGGCTGTGGGTCCCTATAATTGTGAACCAGAGGTGGTACCCCTCTATATATATATATATAACATATATATATATATATATATGTATGTATAGTCCTGGGGACCATTCAGGCTTGTTCGCATGTATGCATACATGTATATATGTATATACACACACACACACACCGTAGTGTATACACTGTATATAATCTATGACTGCACTTTATATATACCCAGATTTATATATATATATATATATACCTAATACATATACCTAATCTGTTTTTACATCTGATCTAATTACAGTATATAATTGCCACCCTAATAAATTACATAATGTATCCTTGCATATAATAGCTGTACTTGTGATACTGTGCCTCCTCTTTTGTCATGATTTTGCTTTTATTTATATGTAGAACTCACAACTATTGCATTACAATATTTACTTATACTGCACCTGGTAACTGTACAGTATATTGAACTTGAAATATAAATCAGTTGTAAGTTCTTTTATTGTTATTTTTAAATTTTAAACATGAATATGATGTCTTTTATATGTTTAATTACTACATTTGATATCACCTTTCAATTAAGTTGACCCCTTACCCTCATGATGTCAACACTCGAGCCTAGCCCCAAGTCTTGCTCGGGGAGTAGAACTCCCAGAAGATCATCAAGGTATGATCAAGAAACCCCATCAAGGTAAGCCACAGGTCATATGTAAACATGAGGATCTTGGAGCCATCCATCCCAGGGTACACTACATCAATTTAGAATAATGGGTTGATCAGTGGATGCAGTATTAATGATAATCCAATCACAAGAAAACATCCATTGAGAATTCCATTCCATGCAGAATCCATTCTGCAGAGAATCTCAGAATGGCTCATAAGGAATTGTTGCAATTCCTTATTCCTTCGAGCCTTTCTTCCCTCTTGCATCAATGGATTTGAGGAACAAGACCTAGGTTTCTGAACTAAACCCAGCTCTTTTTGCAGTTAGGGTCTGCAACTGCTTCCATCATGCAGTATCAAGTCCCCAATTCCACTCCGTGGCTCAAATTAGAACTCCATTGTGTGTTCTGCCAATGGGTCATGTTAGCCATGGGTATTCTTGCCTAATGGAGTGGGCGAGTGGTTTAAATTTACAAATAAAGCAAGGCATGTAGATGCTCGATACTTCCATTACTTCCCCTTGCAACTCTACTGAGCAGGAATGAGGGTAACATATTTCCTCAGGTTCCATCAGTTGACAATGTGGCTGGTGACTTCTAATGTCAGGTTGGGGGGTAACAGCCAGGTGGTCAACAGTTTTAACAAAACAATACCATACTTAGTAGTCTCTTTGTATTTAAGTATGTTTGGAGGAACAATTTTGGATGTAGATGAATGACAAATAATAACATGCATATAATTTAGAAAAATAGTGTATAATAAATTTAATATTGTACAGATGAAGCCAGATGCAGAAATGTTCTTTTTGGAGCCAGCAGTACTGTTTAAGAGGCATTACACACAGATGAACCGGCTACTGGACTTCCAGAAAGATCATCGTGTTCGTCTTGTTTCATTCCACAGGAGAGTTGTAAGTTAACATAGTATAATGGGATCAAAGATTGATTAAAAAATTAAATGGGAGTGTAACTATATTTATAAATCACATTGAGAAGCAATCTGTGAAAATATTTAGTTGTTTTACTGACTATTTTTTTCTGGGAGAATTGGTTGCTGAAAAGTTTCTTTCAATGAAGAGAAAGTTGGTTGGCTGACTTAATATTTTTAGGAAAAGGTTATGACTGGATTTATTGTGGAGCATTGAAGGTTTTCAATATCTGTGAGGTGTGAGGGATGTTAGTATGGGAGTTAGGGACTGGCAGATAATATACTACTCTCTGCCTTGACATATACTATACAAGTCAAATTTAGTTATGGAAAGGGGCAATGCGCACAAGGGTACAAAGAGTGGGAAATGCAATTATTTTTTAAATTACTGTAGTTTGTGTATGTGGAATGAGTATGGTAATGAGGAAGTACATAAGAGATGTTGTATGAATAAACGGGGTGAGGGAATAAAATGTGAAGTAGTGAACTGCGTGAAGTACAGTGCACTAAGGTAGTATGATCATGCCCAAGGATCATTCAGCAAGACGGGTGTACTAGCATGAAGATCATATGGTAGATGCAGATGACTAACATTCTGGGGAAGGAAGTGCGTGTTATTTCATTATATGAAATAAAATGTTGGATAAAAGGTTCAGAGAATGTGACAAAATAATAGGTTGGTCTGGTGATAGAACCTCATGGATGAACTTCTGTTTACTCATCATGAACCAGTTCAATGGGACATTCATTGAGTTTCCCTTAAGGCTCATTGGCATCAAACTCTAAGGATTTTTCACATTGACTCGATGCCTGATTATTTTTAACTTTATTCTGAACAGAAATATTTTTACAGCTGCAGAAGTACAAATCACTAGAAAAACAGAATTCATCAACTCTCAGTCACATGCAAGAGCTAGAGAAAAAGTACACTGCAGCCAAGACTCGCATCCAAGAGTTAGAGGCGTAAGTATTCTAACAAATAGTTAATATTCATTTATGTAATTTACTGAAGTAGCTCTTGTTAAGAGGAAATAAAATGAGTTGTTTAATTGTTCTTCCATTTGAGGTGTCCATCTCCAGCAGTACTCGCTACAGCAGTATATAGCATGGAAGATATCTAATACATCTTTAATCTTATTATCCAGTAAAGTATTCTCTTTCTCCTGTGCAAATGTTTTCCAGCACATGAAAGTAAAAAATGGGGTAGTGATGATATCTTCTATACTTAAATGTGTTTTACCTCAAAGCATCTCAGAAAAACTTTATAGCATTGCTATTTTGTTTTGTTTTCCAGTGAAAACCAGAAGCTTCGCAATATGGTGTCCACTGCAGGTGGTGCTGGGAGGCCCAGTTCTCTGGGTCATCATTCATCTTTTCTTGAATCTTACCCGAGGCCAGCCACCTCCAACAAACACTCTCCACAAGTAAGCAAAACACAAATAACCTATATAAAATCTAAAATCATCAGAGATCTATTTATTCTCTACAGTAATGGTATAATGGTAAGGTCCAGTGTAGCTAAATTGTGAAATGACAATTTTAAGATTTATGGCTGTAGATACCTCTACAGCAAATAGCTAAATACCTGTATTAAGTTCCTACTAACACAATACATATACTTTCATGAAGGTGAAATTTATAGTCAGTTCTATTAAACCTGGAAGTACATAGTCATTCCTATCATTAATCCCTAAATGTATAATTGTCACATTAGTTTGAGATCAAGAATCTTGCACATCTCTCATACCCTTATGCAGATGAAAACTCACTATAAGGTGGCTGAAAAATGTTGACCAAACCACACACTAGAAATTGAAGAGACGACGACGTTTCGGTTCGTCCTGGACCATTATCAAGTTGATTGTCCTTATGCAACTTTAATCTTAACTTTATTTATTTCTCCTTCCATTTTATCATGTGTAACTATTCTTTACCTAAAAAGCTCAGCGTTCAGTGTAATGAAATGCCTCTTTCTGGTAGAGCCCTGGTGAGTCCCCCATAGCTATCTCGCTGAGATTGCTCCACTCTACCAGTCAAATAAGTTGCATGAGATCATTTGGCTTACTGGGGACCAGAACCCCCTACCACAAGGTGCAGGGAACAAATGACATTCTGCCATTTCACAAGGAAAGCATTCAGAAAGTCAGCAAAGATTTACAGACAACTACTGGATTCAGACGACTCAAAAGCTACTAACAACTCCCAAAACATTACAAAATAAAGACACAAAACTAGCTAGAACTCTTCAGTACGAAATGGGCCACCTGGTGGCAGCAACGTCCAGCATCAGCTATCAGATTAGTTCAGGAGCAAATAAACACTACAGTGAACAGACGAACATGGGAGGGAGGGAGGGAGGGAGGGAGGAAGGAAGGGAGATGGAACCACTGGGGCTCTGCCAGAAAAAGGATGTTATATTATATTCAATGCCGAGTTTCTGGGGAAGCCACCATGGCACTTCTCCAGAAACCTGCACAATAAGAGGGAACAATGTTAGGCATGAAATTCCGTGCAATGCAGGACTGCAATACAAGTGCAGGACTGAATCATGGAAAAGAAGTAAATGCATCCCAACTTCGACCAGTCTAACCAAAAAGAATCAACCGTGAAAGCCCCGCAATCGGGGAACAAAGCAGAACATGGTATAGAAGGCTCCGGTTCCATGCCTGAGAATCTAGAGAATCTAGAAGACAAGCTACCTGCAGCATCCAACACTACAGGGGAAAAGATCAAAGAGATACTCCCCCCCCCCATAGTTCAGGCAATAAGCCACCGTGAGAGCAATTAGAGTGGAGCCGGGTTGTGGTGCCTGGAGGGAGTTGAATGATTTGTAACACTTGTCACACAGCTGCTAACTTGTGCACCATACTGTGTGCCCGAAGCACAGGACCCATCCACCAACCCTGGGAATCCTGGTGAACGCTGGTCACAAACCCCAACCCAAAGCCGATGATGTCCATAATGACATGGAGCAACAGAGCTGGAAGGCGCCATGAAACCAAATCCTAAAAAGCTCAAAGAGGAAACCCACGAGGGGCAGCTGAGGCCCCAAACCCGATGACTGTGGCAGCTGTGAAATGGTCGGAACAAAGCCCTAAGCCAAATTTGTTTTCCACAGCCACTCAACAACTGTCAAGCCATCCCCGGGCTGTTCCAACACCAGACAACAACAGAGCTATAAGTGGAGCAAAACTGAAGGAGGAAGGGAAAGTGATGCCAGCTGAGAATCTCAGACTAGACCCAACCATGTTTGAACCTGGGACAGAAACAAGTCTCCGTGGTGTAGTGGTAAGACACTCGCCTGGCGTTCCGCGAGCGCTTTGTCCTGGGTTCGTATCCTGGCCGGGGAGGATTTACTGGGTGCAAATCCTTAACTGTAGCCTCTGTTTAACTCAACAGTAAAAACGATTCTTCGTGGGGGTCGTGTTCCAGGGACCATAGGATTAAGAATAGGATTAGTGGCTGTACAAGAATGTAAGAACTCTTTTATATATCTAAAAAAAAAAAAAAAAAAAAAAACCTGGAACTTATTCCAGTTCACCAGAAACCCGAAGCTGGGTAAGAACCAGATCCATGGCCAGCCAACACATGGGAGCCCAGGCTAGTTGGGAGCCCAGACTAGCCAGTCGTCGAGGTAGACCAAATCTCTAAACCCTTAAGAGACAAAGTTGAGCCACCACGACGTGTGTTGACCTGGTTAAAGTTGAAGGGCTGAACCTGAAAGCAGTAAGCACAACATCCTTCCCACCACAAAACCTAACCAATCCCAGAAACCTAGAATGTGCCAGTATACATTTTGGAGAGCAAGGGATACCATCCATGTCCTTGGTTGAAGAACCAGCTGAACTTGCAAAAAAAGTGGTCATGTGGAGGGTAACAGGGAATGAAGCTGTTCAGTCTCCTCTTGGCAACCAGGAACATACTTGACACCCAACAAAGGGATAAGGTTGGTTCGGCTGCACCCATGTCCAACCACAGTGCAGTGACTTGATGCAGCAGTGGGTAAGAAAGCTGACCTTGCATTCTTAACCCCCAAAAATGAAGGCAGAAACAACCAGCTTCTCCACAGGCCGGGGAAAATGACCCAAGATGCTCTAGGCCACATGGTGGTGGCACTCGGTACTAATGGGTTTCAGCTAGTTTTGTGTTTTCGTTTATTTTGTATTGGTTTGGAAATAATTTGGCAGCTTAGTGGGGTTTGAGTCTTGTGTACCCAGAAGTAATTGGTCTGTAAAGGTTAGCCGAGTTTTTGGATGCTTTCTCAGTGAAATGGGGGAATGTCATTTGCTCCCTGCATCTCGTGATAGGGGGCCAGCTCTTGGCTCCCTCACCTGGTAAGCTAATTAAACTCATGCAACTGATGTGACTAGCAATCTCAGCTATGGGGAGCCATGGGGTTTTCCTAGAAAACCTAATCTTAGAACCACATATAATACTAAGGATCAACACCCGTTTAACACAGAACAGGGTGCACAAAAAAATACAAATGTAGCATGTACCAAATCTCTAACATGTACAGTATTCTTTTTTGTTACCTACTATGCTCTAAAATTTTACTTCTCCATTGCTTTGTTTAATCCAATAATCTGAAAAATAAAACACATTCTATTTTCCATTATAGCAAATAAATGGTCCTCAGGTGTCTCCTGGAGGAACGAGAATTAGCCCTGGACGTCTTACCCTTGTTAAAACAAACCACGGATCTGTTTTGGGTGTTCATAACCGTAGTCCTACAAATGTACCTGCAACTACCTCAGCACATGCAATACCATATGGGACAGTCCAAACTCCCAGAACACCAGTCAGTCAGCATTCTTCGCCTCCTCAACCGTACCACGTAATTGGCCACCAGAATCAGCAAGTCCTACACTCAAATAATGGATTACATATTTCCACACCTAACAGACATGGTACGCATTTAATATTTGTCCACTCATATCGTTGACAAAAGAATTGCTTGTTATTTATTTACTAAGGAATTTATTTCATATTTAGTTTGTTTAGTTTGCTAGGGCAATGATTGAAGTAAATTTGAGGTATTTAATCCATTGTGCTCTATGCTGTATGCTAAATAACATAAACAGCCATATTGAATCAAATCATTTTGAATATTTCTTAGGTTACTTTCAACTTAAAAATCAAAAGTCAACATAGAAATTACCGGTATATATTCTCATACTGTATATTGGTATATACATTCTTATGTACCAATTCTCTTGAATAAAAATGATTTACTATGGCAAAATAAGAAGATAACATGTAGCACAAGGTGGTACTACACCAGTTGCAATGAGTTGTACTGCGTATCGTTCATTTCAACAACAAGATGCTGCACGAATGGCTCATCAAAATAAGCCATAAAATAACTACTTTCACTCATGTTGTCACCAGTACAGTATATGGGAAAATTGGTATTTTCAAATGTTGCTATTTCTAGTACAAAATTGTCACAATCATCCCACATGACGATCGTGACCCCATGCTGCTTGTGACGGTGCCACCACCATAGCTCTGGTTTCTAATGCTAAAACTTCGTTGGCCAGGAGTTGAAGCTCTTCTACATTGTGTATTGGGCGGACTACAAAAAGTTGAAGTGGAGGTGACACCATCATCTTTGTCTTCATGGCTGGAGACATGCTGATGCTTGGCTGGACGTGGTGCTGAGACAGCAAAGTTTTGTCTATTAATGCCACCACGAAAGCCGCTCACATTGGCTTCATCTACACTACTTGTATCTGCACCCAGAAAGAGAGTCATCTCCCACATTATCACAGCATTCAGGAATGGCAGATGGTGCAGGTGATGGTGATAATAGTAGTGGTGTTAACGAGATGCCCGTACTGTACACACTGCCTCTATCATCGTCATCAATGTCCGTATCGCTCGTATCCGACGTTGTGTTAGGTCATTATCAGGTCTTGGGTCATCAACATCACTATAAGGGTCCTATCAAAATAATACTTGTATTATTATAGGCTTGTATTTAATCCTTAGAGAGTGATTTTTAAACCATGTAACCCATTAGTGGACTGGGAGCTCAAGATGTACGTGTCAGCCATGGTTGCTAGCTTGGAAATGAGCCTACCCTTACTCGTGGAGTATGCTGGGAATTTGTTTCAAGATGGCTGATGCTCAGTGGAGGCCTCAGGCTTCTATCTGCTATCCAACTTACTGTGCAGGAGTTTTGAGTTATGATATACAGTACTGGTACTAACAAATGTCATATGTAGGGTGGCACAGACTCTTTACCCCATGATATCAAGGTTTGCACAATAGAGTGGTTTATGCAGCCACATTTTTAAGTGTTAAGAAATGTTTGTAGACCACCACCTCATTCCATTAACCATACCTAATTAAACTTTGTTTTAGGGACAGTGATCCCTAAGCTATTAAAGTGTAGGTATGGTAGTTAAATGAAAGAACCTCCCTAATCAAATTATCCAAGTCTCGCCATAATCGTATAAAAGGGGGCTACTGTAGACACACCAGAAGCATGTTGTTAAAAGTGCTAACTTAGGAAATACCTATAAAGACAATGTAATTGGCAAAAAAATGTTTAATCATACAATATGTAAATACAGTAATGTAATAGATATGAGCTACTTAAATCTTGCAATAAGAATATAAACACCAAATTATTGATGAATTTGTGTATTAAAATGAGGCTTATAAATTTTAAGGTATTGGCTACTTCAGGAGTCAAAGTCCCTCACCTACCAGGACATATTCACCGACAAGGTATGCACAATTATTGCTTTCACAATGTTGTACTTAACTCTAAATTAAGAAATGAGTGTTGTCTTTTTGTATTCCATCATTTTCCAGATTATTTTATTTTGATAACACAGAATAATCTTTAATAATAATTAAGTGAGAGATCTAATTAATTTTCTTGAACAACCAAGAACTTACTTTTCATGAAACAGCTTTCTTAAAAATAATTTTGATGGCTTCCTTTATTTTTAATAGTAAATAATATATTGTATATTCTTTTCCCACAGAAGTGTCTCGGGTTCACTGAACAAACTATCTTTATTACCACCGAATCAGCTTCAGGCAATAAGTCCGGGTTTAAAGCCACTTCAGGTCACACACAATTTCTCACACTTTCCTAATCAGCAAGGCAATCAAACAGACCAAATTCGGCCTACATATTTACAATCTCAACCATTCACAGTTCATTCTGTAAATACAACTGCAGCCTCGCCAAATCTTTTTACCAACCAAATACAGGGATGCTCTTCCTATGGAAAATATACTATGTAGGCTAATTGAATTGCATTAGGAAATTTACTTGGTCTAGGAGACAATTGAAAACTTAGTTTTTTTAATAACTTATGCTTAATTCATAAGGCATAACAATGGAAAAAAAGGATGTGTGTGAACCATTTGAAAACTAATGAAAGTAAGATATTTTGTGTATAGTTGTGATACCCTCTATTCTACCCCTAAGGAGATAAAGTAAGAACAAAAATTAAGGAGCACAGCAGCAAACTTGTTGGCCCGTATTAGAGGAGTCCTGTGTAAATCTTCTTACCCACATATCTATCCAATCTGTTCATCAAGACTATTGAACTATTTATTTAATAATATTGCCCATCATAATAACCACCACCTTCCCCCACATGCTTACCTCTTCTCTATCATCCCTATAACTTACACTGTTATTCTTTCCAAAACTAAATCATCTTTGCCAAGTGTACTGCCGTGCATCGTGCCTCCTCTGTCAGTCTGTGTATTCTTGCACACATGACTGTTCTCTGAGGCTCCATCTTTTATACTCTTACATTATTTATGCTTCCATTACCTACATTGATCATATAAATTTCTTAGATTATTGCAATGGATGATAATAGACGATATACAGGTATTCAGATGTATGATAATCATGAGGTGCTTGATGGAGGACTTCTCTTAAGTAGGTGAATTTAGTAAATAAATGTTTTTATTCAGCATTTTTTTTTAGTTATTTTACTTTTCTTAATCATGGTTCCTTCTTTGATAATTACTTACTTTTCTTAAAATTAATTATATAGTAGATAAAAAAAAAGTATTGTTTAAGTTTGCATGAATTTATTCTTTTCTGTAATGCAAAATTACTAAAAATAAATATCATGTAATTTGCATTGTATATTGATTGCACTTCCATAATTTTGCAAAGTCTATAAAACTCCTTAAAAAAAAAAAGACTGTCATGTTTGTTCTTTTTTTTTTTAATAATGCACCTACAGAAGGACCTGTTTTTAAGCTTCATCATCGTCATTCTCCCACTTCTCACCTGCACAGGCGTTATATTCCTGATGCAGCTTATCTTTCAGTACTTATTCAAATTTCCTATACCAATAAATCTATGAATTCCAGGTCGGATCACGGATCACTGTGTACCGCTCTCATTCCCTAAACTACCCCAAAAATTGTATTTTTTATTCTCACTTATGACACAAAACATATGCACTAACACTAAATATGAAACACAATGTCTTTAACTGTGCCACAAGTCTTTCACTACCTCATTCCACTCTTCATTATCCCTCGCCATTCCTCTCATTCACTTTTACTCCTGTTCTTATAATCCCTAACACATTCATTTCTTCATTCTCACTTCCTCTTATTTTTGTTTCACAGAAACTCAGGACATCAGACATTCCCCTTTAAAAACTCTTTTGCCCCGTATGTTCTCTCATATTCTACACAGCAGTCTATGTGGAAGAAGTTTAGGAAGACTGGTATCCAGTCCAATCTTCCCATTCCTTTGTGAAAGGAATACAGGTATGTTTGTACATGATGGTGATAGGCAATGGGATTGCTGCATCCCTTCTTAAATTACAGTGATTATTAGTATACAAACTGAAGACATCTGCCCTTCTATGGTAAACCTTGTAATTTTCACATACTAATATTAGTCACATATTTTCACACATAATTCAATTGTAAATTCAAAATATACTTTTATTTCAATAAAAGCTTTAGTTTTATTTTGACCTTGAAAACACTGTAATCTCTACATTATAGGAGAGCTTTCTCCAGTCAGAAGAGCTCAAACCTATCTCCAGGAGTGACCTTCAAGGCAGTGCTAAGGGGAGGACACCACAAGTACTGTAGAACAGCGGTCGCCAACCTTTCAGGGCTCACGGATCACCAAATTCATAATTTAAAATCCCATAGATCACTAATGTGAATACTGCAGTCCACCAAACCAGAATTGATAGTTATTAAAGTCAAACTATTTGATGCCATTAAATATAACAGTTAAAGAAAATACACAATACTGTACACAAATAAAATTGTCTCGCAGACCACTGGTTGGTGACTGTTGTTGTAGAATATACCTAAACATTTATTTACTATCCATCACTATGTGGAAGGTAAACAGTTCATTCTAAAAGGTTAGGTTTTATAAACAATAAATTGTCATCTATATTTGGTTAATCACTAATCACTAGAGTTAGTCAGTTAATCACTAGATCACTTAAATGGAAAAAATCATGGAGGAAAAAAAAAAAAGGAGAAAATCAGCAGGAGCCGTGACGAGGATGCAAACCTATGCTCCGGGTACTCCCAAGCTTAGGTTTGAATCCTTGTATCAATCAGTAGGAGCTGTGACATCACATTAATGTGATTTCTCTGCACTTAAGCAATATTAATTTAAATTGTTGTTCAATATGATCTGAAAGGTGTTGCTCAATAGTTATATTGTACCAGAATATGGCTTGTAAATGCACTGCCACCTTATATTAACCCTTAGACCGCGCAATACATACGTATATGACAACATAAAATAATTTAACACAAGTTTTTAAATCTTGCCTTACAATTTTTTTTTTGCATAATCAACTAGGCAAATGCTCCAACTTTGTCTAAATGATCACAGCGTAACTTGAAAAACAAGAGAATCAAAATTAATTTTAAAATTGAATATTGAAAACTAAAGATTTTCAATTCAGAATAAAAAATATGAACTATCACCAATTGTTCATTTATTGTTATTATTTTTTCAGATAATAGCATATCTTCATTTTCATCAAATTAGAATATAGGTTTTCAGTACGGGGTACTGTAAAAAAAAATCGTCAATAGGGCATTTGAAATATGTGGCACATTTAGACCAAAAAAAAATTATAACTCCAAATGTATTAAGTTTATGAAAAATCCATTCTGAAGGGATTATAGAACAAACAGCTGAGCACACAATATGTCAAAATAGTGAGAATTGGTCAAAAACTGGAATTTTAGAAGCCACTCAAAGTTGAAACTCTGGTTTCAGAGATAATTGAAGTTGAAGTTATCAACAATGAATAAAGGTAGTTTTAATTCATTAATTTAATTGTATGTTTTAATAAACATTGTTTGGCATTCGTACTCAAATATGTGAAAGATGTAGGTCAATATGTGTTGAATAACAGTCACCAATGAATTCTTTGTAAAGAATTTCATTGTTTTTTGGCTTTTGAACATAAAAGTAATTACTATATATATCATGCCATGAGTTCAAAGAAAGTCAGTGGTAGGGTTCAACCTAAGAAAACACATGTGAGGATGACCATAGAGGAAAAAAAGAGAGATCATTCATAAACATTAAAATGGTACATGGGTTGTTGAACCAGCTAGGCAGTACAACAAATCTTCAGGGGAGGAAGAAGCAGTAAAGGATGTCCCTTCCTCATTAATTAAGAAAATGTGTGCAGTATGGGAAGAACTGCAAAGTTTTGCTGAAAAGACTCACCCAGATAAAGCTTTAGCAGGCCATTGCACTGACCTTATTAATGACAATATGATGTCTCACTATAGACAAGTGTTAAAATGTATGGAAAAATAAATACCTTTACAGATTCTTAGTAAGACAAGCAGGCAGTGAGCCACAACCAGTTCTTAGTGGTATGCCTGCAAAATGTAGGAGAGAGAGAGAGAGTACCCCAGAGAAGTCATCATTGTCTGATTTTATAAAAGACTTCCCTTCCAAACACTCTCCCCCCCCCCCCTCCATCACCGTCTTCCATATGCCAACAAGTCATCAATAAAGATAAACTATAACTTGTACATACTATAAATATTTGTGTGTATTAGGTATGAAAAGTATTTTGAAGGTTAATATTTTTGGGAATGTGGAATGAATTAATTCAATTTACATTATTTCTTGTGGGAAAATTCATTTCGGGTTACGAACCGTCTCTGGGAATGGATTAAATTCGTAAACAGAGGGGGGCCACCGTACAGTACTTTAATTTTAAATATTAACATTAATATGGAAGCTTTAATTTAATTTGAATGTTGATAATTAGTTTAGATGTTATGAATGACTTTTCTTACATGGCCATCTACCCAAGTGGTTAGATCTACCCAAATAATCTGAAAATTTTAATCCTCCTCTTAACACATTCTTTGTTTGAATTAGCAAAACTTAAAGTTTTTAAATTATAGAGTATCAAGACTTGCACTGCTCCGATGATATCAGTACAGAACAAGTATTTGAATTTGTCATAATTGTTTAACTTTGCTGAAGTAGGGAAGATTAAGATAAGTTAGCTTCACTACTCCAGCTTCAGTAATGCAGAGTACTCATTTAAAGGGTACAGTAATATTACAATGAATATGGCATTTCATATCATTTCCTGGGGAAAGCCCCTTGTGGCTTCCTGAAGCTATCTACCGAGGTCCTAACTACTAAATCACATCAGCCATGAAGTTCAGTTCAGCCTTCCAGGGACCAGAACCAGAATCTGGCCCCATCAGAGGTGCAGGCTACAGTACAGGAAAAGAAAATGAACAGAACACTTACTAGAGCCCAAGAGAACCAGAGCAGCTACCGTATTCTCCAGCAGCAGCAGACTGAGAATGAGCATAGGGAGATAGGCTAATTAGCACCAGAGCAAGGTAGCATCTGCACAGGAACTTTACAGCTTCCAGAAGCCATGGGACCACAATTCTGTACAAGACAAAACACAAGAGAAACCTGTAAGCATAGCAAAGAGCAGAACAGATGTGCATGGTGCAGCTTGAGTGGGGAATGTAACAATAGCCAAAGGCAGAGTCTGGAGACTTGTGCAATATGGCCAGAAGACAAAGCAAAATGCGGCTACAGACCCACCTGTTAAAGATTCTGAGGATTAGTATCCCTGCAGCAGTCTCTGACCATGCCTCCTGGTTGCTAGTCTAATCGACCAGGCTGTTCGATGTGGATAATGGTAGCGTGACGTACGAGTCAATCTGGCTGCTCAGGCATCTTTTGAGGGGGCTTGTGGAGTTCTCTTTTGAACACTGCGAGAGGTTGGCCAGTTATGCCCTGTATGTGTATAGAAAATGTGTTGAAAAGTCTTGGGCCTTGTGATGTTGAAGTTTTCTCACAGCATGCCTATTGTACCTCTGCTTTTCAGTGGGGCTATATTGCACATCCTGCAATGCCTTCTACTCTCATGTGATGTTATTTCTTTGTGCATTTTTTAAACCAGTCCTATTAATATTTTCCAATTGTAAATTATAATGCATTTCTCCTGCCTATATTTTAGGAATACAAATTTAACATTTTAGGCTGGAGGCTGGAATTGGAAGAAACTTGTAGTCATGTTTTATTGAGTTGATTCTAGGAGTAAAGGATCTTTGCATGCTCTTAAAGTCAGTAATTTCCCCAGCTTTGAATGGGACTATTAGCAGGCAACAATATTACACTCTATAGAGCACTAATGACTTGAAAAGTATCAATGGTGTGGTATTTCTTGTTTGGAAGCTTCTCATTATCCAACCTGTCATTTGTGACAGTTGTGACAGATAATTTGCTGTGTTTTTTAAAAGTAAGGTCGTCCAACATAATTAACATTAAATCTTTTACATTGCTTTTTCTTTCAGTAGTAGTGTGATGAAAAATGACTTGATAATGGCCCGTTGATCCCCGGAACCTCCACATGGTAGGTAGGTACAACTTTTGCAGTCGTTCTCAATGGTGGAGCAAGGTATGCTTTTCAGCCTCCACTGTGTTCATAGCCCTGTATGAATACCATTTGAAAAGTTACTTTGTCTAGGAGTCTTCACTTGTCCATCCACTTGGACAGTTCAGAAGTACAGTCAGTCAGTACAGCAACAGTCTTACCTTACAGGGTTGGCATTCAATGTGATGGTCAAATTGATTGGGCACCATTCCTTCACATCGTCCTTATACCCATTCCATCCATGTGCTACACAATCACACTGGCTTAGTGCTTTCTCCCGATAATTACTTTACTTTTGTTTGTGCTCAAAGTTGTTCGGGACTTGGCATATTAGCCACGGGTTCACCCATGTCACTGATATGACTCTTGGGGGAGCAACATTTGTGGCTTTGCTCAAAAGTGTGATAGAACAATTAAAATGATTATATGGTCATGCAAAGCATTATGACTAATGCCCACATCACCATGCCAACACAAGTGGCGCTATAGTATACATGGATTTTTGCATTTTCTCCTTGTGATAAGTGATAAGCATACGGCTTACCACTTTATTTTGTTTAGCACATCCGAGATTTAAGTTAAATTAAAACCCTTATTATAAAAAATACTTTTAATTTGTTAAATGTTACATAACATTACATTCTAATTACCATTCTATCACCTTTTCTATTTGTGCTCAAGATTCAATAGAATAATCTAGAGCACGCAAAAAATTAACTCCATTTCCAGGCATTATGTAACTTGCCCCCACACTACTCAAATCAGTTTAACACTTGATTTCAAGCATAAGTTAGACATACACATACATAAACATATACATACATATATACATACACACATACATATATATATACATACATATATACATACTTATATACATATATATAGGCCTTCTGCATTTTCCTTATGTTCTTAAAAAGATAGGAAAGATGATTACAGTAATTCTAATTTGTTATTTAATATTAACCACTGATACAGTGGCAAGTTTAACTCTTGATTTGCTAGTCATAATTTGTAGTCACATGGCCTTCAGATTTGAGTCTCCCATCTTCATATTATGTCTATAGCACTTATCTGGGACCAACATATACACGGGAGACATCTCCCGTCACGCAGGGTGCAGTTGCACCTCCACAGATCTCCAGTATCAGCTCTTGATATTGGTAATGGCTCAAAAGGGCCACCACTTGCGGGGTATTCATGCCCGTGCCACCTTTTGGATGGCTTAATCGTCATCTTGGGCACATTCATGGAAGACATCTCCCGTCACGCAGAGTGCAGTTGCACCTCCACAGATCTCCAGTATCATCTATTGATACTGGTGATGGCTCAAAAGGGCCACTACTTACGAGCTATTCATGCCCGTGCCACCTTTTGGGTGACTTAATCTTCATCAATCAATCAATCACCAACATATAAGTCTTCTATGCTTGGATTATTTTTTGAAATTCATACTTTAGCATACAGATTTACCATTTCATAAGATAAAGTGAGTAAAAATAATAATCTACACATCAATGTGTAAACAAATAATTGTTTACTCATTAAGACACTACTTTCCGATGGCCACACTATAAGGACTAAAATATAACAAAATATCGGTGTGCTTCTCAAGTGCAATAATTCTCCAGTCTTAATCGAGGCACTATGTTCATTGACTGTAATTCTTGAAATAAAAGTTTACAAGCATACGGGATACGAATAGAAGAGACATTTGCCGAGGAGCGACAATAATGACACCAGCCCGAGTATCCCAACAGGCCACAAGAGTTGCACACATCTATGTCAAACGCATCAGACGAGATCATCAAGCGTTCCAGCAGCAGCATGCTGTAGGAGGGGAAAATGTATTCAGTGCAATGACAATAATATCTAGATTATCATTATACAAGTGTTCAAAATAAAGCAAATGGGGTACTTGGATTCTTACTCAAAAGTGTTAGCAATAAGACATCTAATGTTATCTTACCCTTGTTAGGCCCGTTTACATTGTACAATTCAGTTTTTGGTGAAGTGAACAAATTCACTTGAATGTATACAACAAAGGATGACACAGTTAATTCATAGAATTAGGAACTGTCCATAGGAAGAGGGCACATTGAGAGCTTCATTAGCACATTGTAATGTTATACAAGAAGGAGAACAAGCATTCCTTTTGTAGCTTTATGGCTACCATCATTGAGCTTTCTTATTAGCACTACTAATAAAATGTTTTCAAGTTCCTAAATATCCAGTTTAATAAATTTAATAAGATTATAGAGAAAAATTACAATACTGTACTGTGATACAAGAGCTGCAAAAATTGCAAAGGTTTAGAAATTACTGTGGTCAGCTTTGGTCATTAAGAAGACAATGTTAAATGATGGTTCTCACCTAGCACCATGGCCAATCAAGCAATCTCGCTCCATCTCCCCCAACCTCAGGCCTCCATCGCGAGCACGTCCCTCAGTGGGCTGTCGTGTCAACACAGCACGAGGGCCTCTGGAACGGGCATGCATTTTGTCCATGACCATGTGCTTCAGTTTCTGATAGTACACTGGACCAAAGAAGATGTAGCCAGTCAAAGCTTCACCACTGGTGCCACTGTACAGAATATCCTTGCCCTGTAAAAAACGTTAAGTCCATGATCAGTTAGAATATTATCCATAGGACATCTTGAGAGAAGTAAAAACAGTGTAACTTAACTTGAATGAACTAATTAGAATTAGATCTATATCAGCTCTTAGAATTCCAGTTCTCCGAGCATTTTGAATTTTTTGTCTCTCGCCCTTAATTACGCACTGCGGACAACTTGAGAAACAGAGCCCTGGAACAGGGATCCAGGGGAAAGCAGACAAAGTCACAAAGAGTCCACCAAAGAAGAAGCATGGGCACAAAGGTAGTGGCAAAATACTGCCACCAGATAAAGATTATAATGCACCATCGAGCGAACCAACCAAGCTTCAAACACCAATGGACCCCCCTAAGGAAGCCATCTGATTCATTCTTCGGCAGAATAGGAGCTGGCTGCAGATGAACAAAATGACTTCCAGGACTGAAGGAACAAACACCCCAGTGCTGCAGGAGAGCATGAAGCTTGCCCATGTGACAACTGGAGGTGAGGGAGACCAAGTGCCAAAATCTTAAGAAAACAATCTTGGACCAAAAGGGACACTGCAAAACAAGCAGAAAGAAGGAAAAGAAAAGAAAAGAACACGGTCCAAAGACCAAGCAGGCTGGATGTGACAGTGTGCCTGAGAAAGCTTATGAAATGGGGGGCCAAGGAAGCATTCACCCCCAAACGCAAAAAGGAGTGGCTCCGCCAGCACCAGATGATACGAAGCGACAGTAGTCTGCATAAGCAGCTGAACCAGAAAAAGCCCAGAAAGAAAAGAGAGGAGAACCAAAACAGACCCCGAAGAGCAATGACAAAGGGAGAGAGGAAGTAGCGGAAAGCATTCCACGAGACTTCATACTGTTGCAAAGTGGAGGACCGCAGGTAGGACACCAAGACCCCAGCCACACGATCACCATATAGATGACGATCAACATGCATCAGAAACTGCAAACATGATGCTCAAAGAAGGCGGAACCGGCAAGGTACATCACCAAACCGACCGAAAGAGGCAGTGCCATGGGAAAACGGCCAGGTTCAAACACCAAACACGCAGCACCTGAAACCCAGGCCGAACGGGAGGACCCAAAAACAAGAACCTGTTGCCCCCAATACAAAGCTAACCTATCCCTGAACCCCAGATAGATATATCTGGGCATGCCAGGATGTGTCCAAGATGTTCAGGTAAGGAGACAAGCACCTGATTTGAGGACAAGACAAACCAGAAACAATTGGGTCATCCAAAAAGAGGGCAAGGAAAGCACCAATTCACCCCAAACAGAGCGAGGAAGAACCAGAGACCTGGAAAATTCCAATTCGAAAACAGAAAAAGCCGGGAACCAAATGAAAAGAAGTTGTTGGAACGACCTCAAGCGGAAAGCGGTCACTTCCTGAAAACCCTGATCATCACCACACGGGACTGTTAGAGCAACACGCAGAGAACAAGTTCCACACGACTCAGGATCGAGTGTTACTGACCGAGTAAGCAGCATGCTGAGGCAGAAAGGTATGAGCATCGCCATGTGGCAAAGACAATGCACAACTCTAGAACTCGTTAGTGCAGATTCAGCAGGGACGTCCAGTGGACCACCGAACCCACAGGGGTTTTCCAGGGACTGTATAGGATGGCTATGTAGGAATCCCAGGCACTGGGATTCCTACACTGAAACCCATTTATGCAACAGGTCCCCCCTTCCCCCCACTTTTTTTTAATGAAAGTAAGTCTTATTTTAGAATTAAAGAGGAAGGGAAGTGTTGGATAGATCCTGAAATAGGTATAAGTAGACCAACCTAGCTCTCCGAAGGCTGAGAAAACCGACCTCAGCATGCCATGCGAAGGTTGCGCAAATTCCAATGCACTCTGCCAGCCAAGACTCGCTTCTGACCCCAGGGAAGACAAAACACCAAAAACAAGCCGACTTACCCAGGGCGAGGACCACCACAAACGAGGAACCCCTCTAAGGAAGCAAACCCCAAACACTCCAGGGAAGAGGACTGGCAGCACACGGGCAAGAAAACCCTATGCACATGCAGATCCAAACACTATACTCCAGACTTGCACAGCACAAACTTGTATTGGAACAGCCTCAGAGGCAAAAACCATCAATTAGGTGAAACAGAACATGGGAACCAGAGTGATAAAGAGGACACCTCACACAGTCTACCATCAGGAAGAACTGAGGATGGAACAGCTGGTTGACATGGTCTGCCTCCCTCCTTCCCCAAGCAAGGAGGGGGGAAGTGCAGCGAACGAGCGTGCGCTAGTTTCATAACTTTTCAATCATTTGTTTACATTGTTGAGGCATCAATATTTCCTTTTGACCAACAGTGATCTGTTGTGGGTCCTTTTCCAGTGATGATGGACATTATTAAAATTCACTGACAATTTGATCAGTGCCACAGCTTCCCGAGCCTCTTTAGAGGGGGGCCAGGTTCTGGCTCGTGGTCCCCAGAAGGCCTAAAAGAATTCTGCAACTTATGGCAGCCAGTAGTTTGTCACTATCAGCTCTGTAGCTTCAGGGAGCCACAAGGAGCTCTCAGCAGAAATTAGCCGTGACTGTGCCACTTTATCAAAAATAAATGAGAATGCAGTGAGAAGTATTTTAGAGGCATTAGTTCCCCCGAGTGTAATCAAAGTGCATGGCAGGAAAGTAATCAGATTACAGAGAATTATCAATGAACAAGGTAGATTCTGTGGTGAAAGAGGGTGTGTAGATCAGATATTTGAACCAAGACATCTTATAAAGCATGTGAGATTTTAAGTACTGTACATAGTACAGTAAATAGAGAAGGGCTGTAGAGAGTGATGAGCAAAGTATGGAGTTAGTAGAATGCTGTTTAATGCTGTAAAAAATAATGAAGTTACTGCATCATGTGTATAAGTCAGTTGGTTTGAAATCCTCAAAATTATTTGTAATCAGGATTTAAAATTCTCCAACTGTGAGTTAAAAGTAAAGAACAGTACAGTATAACAATTTGGACCATATCTTATAAAGAGAACAATTTTAAATTGTGCACTTCAGTATAATGAGATGACCTGAATAATGTTAGTTTTATAGATCTCACCTTATTTTATAATACAGACTACAGTACTCACTTGATAATTGTATCCGTGTCTGACTAGCTCTTCCATAATTTCCTTTACTGGTGTTCCACCAAATGCTGTTCCATAATTGAACTTTCCTTCAAGAGCAGCTGCTTTACTACCCAAAAGTTCCATTAGTTTTCCCACAGTCATTCTAGATGGGAACCCATGAGGGTTCATAATCATATCTGGGTAAAGTCCTTGATCAGAGAAAGGAAGGTCTTCTTGCTGTACTATAAGACCCGTCACGCCCTTCTGGCCATGCCGAGATGAAAACTTGTCCCCAATCTCTGGTCGACGAGTTTGTCTAAGGAGAATTTTTATCAAGTTGAATTCATCTTGATCTGCTGACAACATAACTTTTTCAACATATATAGAACCTGGTCCCTTGTGTACAACTGGTGTATCCCGAAACTCTACCTGCCTGGGAGCTTGCTCATCAGTATATGACAACTGTGTAACAGTAGGCATTTGCTTATTGATAAGCACCTGTCTGGGAAGAACAGCTGCTCCAACAGCTGCTAAGCCATCACTGTCAAGCGTTTCATGCTTCCAGATTGGCTTTTGTTTACCTCCCTCAAGAACTTGCATCAGTGGCCCCTGAACTCTGTCTGAAGTTTGGTTTGCATAACGCTTGACAGAACACTTTGCATTTCTGTACACAATACAGCGGCCATAACCTCGGTCAAGCGATGCCTTATTAATAACAATGGCATCTTCAATGTCATAACCTGAATAGCTCATTACAGCCACCATTGCATTATGTCCTGCTGGAAGATGCTCAAAATTTATAAGCTCAATAGGCCTTGTTTTCACAAGAGGTTTGTGAGGGTAAACAAGATTATATAATAAGGTGTCAATCCGATTTCTCTGGTTGTAGCCAATAGTGCCCATAGCTTGTTTACCCATAGCACACTGATAGGTGTTACGAGGACTCTGGTTATGGTGAGGATATGGGATCAGTCCAGCACACACTCCCAAAATAGTAAATGGCTCAATTTCCATGTGAGTTGTTTTGGGTCCAATTTCATTTTCATACATAGCTATACTTGAATCATTTTCTTCATTTACATCAAGATATTCAACTAAACCCTCATAGAGGAAATCATCAAATGCCATCAACCCACGAGTCAGTCTCATAATGTGATCTTCTGTGACAGTAAGTCGTTGATTATCAACAATAATGTAAGGCCGGCAAAGCCGTCCTCCATCTGAGCTTATATAAACACAACGATGCTTATAATGGGTGTAAATTGACACGAACCCACTAATAACAGAGTTGCGTCGCATGGCACGAAACACTCTCACAACTCTCTTGTGATCTCTTGTTACACCAATGATATTACCATTCTGGAAAACCAGAAAAACATCTCTATTTGACAGTTCTTCTCCTGATAGCAGGTTAATATCCTCAACACCACAGTTGAAAGCAAGCTCAATAATTGGTTCAGGATCCACTTCTGTAGTAATGTGTGTCATTAGAGCCAAGTTTTTCACAAGGCCACATGACTCTCCTTCTGGAGTGTCGGAGGGACAAACCATTCCCCACTGAGAAGGTTGGAGAGACCTTGGACCACTAACTTTACGCGTTTTCTCAAACTGTGAATTCACACGAGTCATCATACCCAAGGCAGATATATATGACAATCTTGCAAGTACCTGAGTCACTCCTTGTCTCTCCATCTTGAACCTTTTGATAGTCCAGTTGCCTGTTGATATGGCTACTTCTAGGCCATTGGTTATAGCATCTTGGCTAGATTGCATGTACTGAACGGCATCAAACTGAGAAACTTTTCCCTTTTTACCTAGAATAATATCTGCTTTTTTCTTCAAATCAGAATTAAATTTTTTGAACAAGTCTTCAAATAGAAGAGAGATAAGTGATCCTGCTAGCTCTAATCGTTTATTTCCATAGTAGTCACGATCATCAACAGTCCTGGTGTCCCCTTGAGCCTCAATCACACGCCTGGCCATCAAAGCCAAATATATTGATTTCATTTTAAAGTTAAATTTTTCAACAGGAACATGAGCTAAAATTGTGGTAGCGAGTAAATCTCTTGCTTCGTCAACAGAAGACTTTTTAGGGCCACGATCAAAAAATCTTTTCTGACGTACTTTGTTTCCCATAAATTTAAGCGCTTGTATCTGCGTATATACATTTAATCTTGCACATTCCTCAAGCGATGCAGCAAAAGAGGTCATTATCCGGTCCTCTGTTCCAATCATTTGAACAATTTCCTGGTCACTAGCAACTCCCATGGCTTTAAAAACAATGCCAATAGCAACATCTTCAGTTAAGGTATTGTGTTTAAGGTAGTATTTCCCATTTTTCATTATGACATTTGTACGAGACTTTTTCTCATGAGTAGACGAGGTTACTTGGCACGTGAGGCCACCTTTCTTGTCTTCTTCAACAATCATACGATTCTTCGACAACTGCTCTTGGATGAGGATTACCTATTAAAATAAATGCACAATTAAGAATATATAATTATTAATCACTATGCATTACTGTATCATTTACATGGGCTGTGGGTTAAAGAAAACTATTCCTAAACTTTTGATTAATAACAGTGCTGCAATACTGCACATGATAATTAGCAAGCAAAAATATTATGTAACCCAAACAATTAATGAGAGAACGTGATCTATTTCTGTCTTAAAGTACTGACTGGCTCCTTAAAGTGTGAAGGTGTTTAAAATAAATATCATAGTATTTTTGATAAACTATTAGGCCATACAATATGTGTATTTCAATTTTATAATTGTAATTTAACCCTTGGATGGTGGACATCGTCAATAGCCGATTCACAGGGTAATGCAGACATCGTTATATGAAGAGTTGAACAATTATTGTCTGGGTTTTACATGTATGATGCAAATAGATATAATAGCCCTCTGTTGATGTAAATAAAGAAAAACAATTGATAAAACAATCAGTGAAACATCCGTGGATAAAACAGGAAGTGTCGGAAAAGTCAAGCACCAGGCATTGACAGGTTCCAGACGCAGCCTTATAAAGCGCCTCCTCCATGTGAAACAATAAATATTCACCTATTTTCATGTTTTTCTTCAATTTTGCATACAAATTAAAAATTCTATAAAAAATTATATTTTGGACATAAGTACATTTATATTTTGTGCATAAGCGGGTAATATATGTATGTATGTATGTACAGTTTGTACTAATGTATGACCATTTCTCCATAGCTGCTGTCCAAGGGTTAAGTAATATTCGACATTATTTGTTTTTAAATAATTTGTTAACTGAAGTAGTACTGACTGATTGTGGGAGGGTCCCAGGCTAAAGCCAAGCACTCTTAACACATAAGAGCTATTTAGCACAAAAAATAGAGATTGTGATCTTGGTCACCTAAGAAATGTTAGAAAGCTCAGAGAAGGAGAAAGGTAGAGGGTAGAAGAAGAGGAGTGAAAGAGGGATGAGTGGGAGGGCTTAGGGGAAGGGGGTATACCCATTACCATATTGACTTTTTAAAGTGACTAAATAAAGCCTAGACACTTGATAAAACTGAGCTATCTAAGGAAGACTTTACACGAGGCAATTTCCTCATAAATTGAGGAAATTGCCTTGTGTAAAATCGTTGAGTCAATTTCTTCCCTAGAAATCGACTCTTGGGAAGTCCTAGAGCAATGTATTAACAACAATAAAATAATACCCCAAAGTTGCAAACAGAATTCAACCAAAATACTGGGAAGGTAAATTTGACAGATATTAGGTAATTTTTGTTGTATATAAATTGGCAACAAATCAAAATACATACTTTTCTAGATTATTTTTTATTTACAATAAACCTGGAAAGCATTCAATTCCTGTACTACTCTCAAAAGTTTCTATCTTCGAAAGAAATAAAGGGAGGGATAGATGTTCTAGTCCTCTATCTCTCATGAATATGCTGTAGCTTTCAAGGCAGATTCAAAATTAAATTTTGTTGCTAGTGTAATACTCCTAATTATTTTATAAGCAGCTTTTAATTCAGTGTTTTTACAACAGATAATTATGGTAACTTACTTTTTCCTGCCCTTTAACGATGAAGTAGCCACCAGGGTCATGAGGACATTCGTTATACTTAGCCAGCTCAGTGTGCGTGCGACAATCTGACAGCACACAGTTTGACGAACGCAGCATGATTGGCATGCGCCCTGCAGACAAATAATTAGGCACTATTACTAGGAACAATAAGTGTTTAAACAAATTTGTTGCTGATCAATTAAATATGTAAACACATACAATATAAATATAAATATACACACACACACACACACAGTGGTACCTCAGCTTACGAATTTCATGTGTACCCAGAGATGGCTCATAAGTCAAATATTAGTAAACCGAAGCGAATTTCCCCACAAGGAATAATATAAAATGAATTAATCCGTTCCAGACTCCCAAAAAAATTAACTTCAAAGTCAATTTTATACCTAATTCACCCAAATCTTCAGTACTAAAGTATGTACAAGTTATTACTTACCTTTACTGATGACTCTTATTGGCATATGGAAGATGGTGAGGAGGAGAGGTGTTGCGTTTGGAAAGGGAGTCCCCTTCCATTATAACATCAGGCAGTGAACGATATGGAAGAAAATGCAAGATTGAACCAGTGAAGAGCAGAGGTGCCATAGGCACAATCAGAGAGCACAGTATAAACATCAGGGGTCCGCGGTTGTTCAACGTCCTCCCAGCGAGCATAAGAAATATTGCCGGAACAACCGTGGACATCTTCAAGAGAAAACTGGACGGTTTTCTAAGAGAAGTTCCGGATCAGCCGGGCTGTGGTGGGTACGTGGCCCTGCGGGCCGCTCCAAGCAACAGCCTGGTGGACCAAACTCTCACAAGTCGAGCCTGGCCTCGGGCCGGGCTTGGGGAGTAGAAGAACTCCCAGAACCCCATCAACCAGGTAAGTGAAAGACTTCTCTGGGGGTACACACTCTGGCATGTTTTGCCAGCATGCCACTAGGACCTGCTTGTGCTCACTGCTTGATTTTCTCACAAAAAAAAAAAAGATCCATAGTGGATTGTTTTTTCCTTCATTGTAACACTTGTCTGTAGTGAGGCATCACATTGTCATTAAAAAGGTTAAGGCAACGGCTTACTACAGCTTGCTCTGGGCGAGTTTTCAACAAAAGTTTGCATTTCTTCCCACCACTTCCAAATTGTTGACGAAGGGACATTCTCTACTGCTTCCTCCTCCCCTGAAGACATTTCCTCAGCTGCTGCTTGTTGCTGCTCATTGTGAAGGGCCAGGAGTTCTTCGGTGGTCAGTTCTTCGCTGGGTTCCTCCACCAACTCCTCCACATCAGCACCAGCCAACTCCCAGCCCAATTTTTAGCCCTAAGTAACAATTTCCTCAACAATAGGCACTTCAGGTCCAAACTCAAATCCCTCAAAGTCTAGTTCTGAAACACATTCAGGCCACAATTTTCTCCAGCCAGAGATCAGGTTCCTTTGAGTCACTTCTTGCCAGGCTTTGTCAATGAGCTTTGTCAATGAGCACTACAAATGCTAAAATGTTTTTTTCAGAAATCTTTGAAGGTGAGGTTTGTGGGATCAGTCACTTCGAAACATTTACGGAAAGATGCCCTTTTATAAAGTTTCGTAAAATTGGATATGATTTTCTGGTCCATAGGCTGAATTAGAGGAGTGGTGTTAGGAGGAAGGAATTTCATTGTAACAAAATTAAATTTGTCCAACAATGCATCTTCCAAGCCTGGAGGATGAGAAGGAGCATTGTTGAGGAGCAGGGCCTTGAGTGGCAACCTTTTCTCCTGCAGATATTTTTTTATGGCAGGGCAAACCACTTCATTCACCCACTCGGTAAAAAATTGCCCAGTCACCCATGCCTTAGCATTATTAGCCCTTCACATCACACACATTTGGCTTTTCTGCACATTATATTTTTTGAAAACCCTTTGATTTTTGGAATGATACACAATATCAATATTATATATATATATATATATATATATATATATATATATATATATATATATATATATATATATATATATATAAAATATAAATATATAAATATAAATATAAATATATATAAATATATATATATATATATATATATATATATATATATATATATATATATATATATATATATATATATATATATATATATATATATATATATACAGTATATATATACACACACACACACACACATATACTGTACTTACTATACAGTGGGGCCTCGACTTACGAATTTAATCCGTTCCCAAAGACGGGTCGTAAGTCAAAAATTTGTAAGTCGAAACGAACTTTCCCATAAGAAATAAAGTAAATTGAATTAATCCATTGAACACCCCCAAAAATATTAACTTAACACCCCCAAAAATATTAACTTAGAAATACATTTTATACCAAATAACACTCATTTTGCACTAGCTACAATACAGTTCTGTATGTTTATCTTACCTTGAATGAGGACTCATGTTGGTGTATAGAAGACGGTGAGGTGGTGGGGAGGAGAGGCGTTAGTGTTTGGAAGGGAAGTCCCCTTCCTTTATACAGTACCATCAGGCAGTGATGACTTTTCTGGGGTACTCTCCTACATTTTGCCCACATACCACACTAGGACCTGCTTGTGGCTCACTGCTCGTTTTTCTCACTAAAAACCTGTCTAGCAACATTTGTTTTCCCTACACTGTAACACTTGTCTGAAGTGAGACATCAGTGTCATTAAAAAGGTTAACACAACAGTCTGCTACAGCTTTATTTGGGTGACACTTTTCAGCAAAACTTTGCATTTTTTTTTTTATTGATATATACAAGAGTTTTTACATTCTTGTAAAGCCACTACTACGCTTATCATTTCGGGCAGGTCCTTAACCCTAATTTCCCCGGAATACGACCCCGCCGAATCGTTTAACCAGGTACCTATTCACTGCTGGATGAACAGAGGCTACAGTTAAGGATTGGCGCCCGGTCAATCCTCCCAGGCCAAAGCGCTTGCAGAACGCCAAGCGAGTGTCTTACCACTGCGCCACGGGGACTGCAATTCTTCCCATACTGCACACATTTTCTAAATAAATGAGGAAGGGACATCCTCTACTCTACATCAACAACCCTCATACTATTTTCATGTTTATGAATGATCTCTTGTTTTTCCTCTATGGTCATCCTCACATGTGTTTTCTTTGGCTGAACCTTACCACTGACTTTCGTAAGTCCCATGGCATAATATAATACAGTAATTACTTTTATGTTCAAAAAAACAAAAAAGCACAAAAATAATTACATTTTTTACAAGCACGATCATCACTAAGAAGGCGGCTCTGGTAAACTGAGGCGGGGTCGGCCATGCTACAAGGAACCAAGTGATTGGTCGACCCATACGCGTATCAACAAAGTCGCTATTTGAGGCAAAATTCATAAGTCGAGTCACATTTTCCGACGAAATTTACGTTGTAACTTGAAAAATTCGTAAGTAGGGGCAGTCTTAAATTGAGGTGCCACTGTACCGTATAATAACTAATTACTAGAGTTGCTTTAGCTGAATTTCCATAAACAACTAAGTTTATTTTAATTATTATTTTATAGATTCATGGATATGCTGTGGTAATCCTAAACCTTCATGATAAACGGTATCAAAATCTTTAAAAAAAAAAAAAAAAAAAAAAAAAGTCCAGCATTGAATGTAATGAAACATCAATTTCTGGGACAGGCCCGGTCCCAGAGGACAAGATAGAAGGTTACCATCTACTGGGTCACAGCCATAGTTCTAGTGGCCAATCAAGGACCGGAGCAGGAAGCCAGCCCCCCTCAAAAAGGTGTAGGAAGCAGTGACATTTATTTTCACTGCCTCATTGGGTAAGGCAACCAGAAAGTCAGCAAGTCAAAACAAATTATTGCTGGATTCAAGGCAGAAGCCTCAAAACCAGCCAAAAGAACTCTCCCAACTATGTAAACAAATGATCAAAATATCTTGAAACTAGCGCGAGCTCTTTTGCCTTGCCTCCCTCACTCTTATGGTGGCGAGGGGAGGTAGCCCATCACCAGCTGGCATTTCCAAGCAAAGTTCTAGGGCAGATGTAGGCATTCACCTCACACCCTGGAAGGGGGGGGAACAGGGAACCACTGAGGAAATGCCAATTTCTGGCAGAGCATCACATTTAATGCTGGTTTACTCCCAGGAAGCCCCTTTTGGCTCCCTGAAGCTAACTACCTAGAGAGAAGAAAACATGGGAACATACCAGGATGGAGGGAGAAGTGCAGGAATCAGGGTGAGTACATGACACCTGACCGAGACACACGAACCCAGAATTATTAGCCTTGGAACAGGAGACCAAGAACAGAGGGAGCCTGTCGGCCGAGCGGATAGCACGCTGGACTTGTGATCCTGTGGTCCCGGGTTCGATCCCAGGCGCCGGCGAGAAACAATGGGCAGTTTCTTTCACCCTATGCCCCTGTTACCTAGCAGTAAAATAGGTTCCTGGGTGTTAGTCAGCTGTAACAGGCTGCTTCCTGGGGGTGGAGGCCTGGTCGAGGACCGGGCCGCGGGGACACTAAAAATCCCCGAAATCATCTCAAGACAACCTCAAGATCAACCCACAAGGCTTCCACCGATACAGAATCAGTGGCAGTGGAGAGCTGCCACTGATAGGGTGGACAAAGACAACTATTTAGCATGGATGAAGCCAGAGTCGATCAACCATTTGCCCTCACAACAGCCTGTGAACTGAGGAGAGTTGCCGGCGAGGAGGTCTGGAACCCCCCCTCGTCCCCCTCCTGGCGAAGTGGGGTTGCACAGACGGATGGGCGGCATTTTTGGTGACGTCATACTTGTTTCCTTTGTTTTGACTGGGGAGTTCTGTTGCTAGTTCGACTTTCGGTTTGCAGATTATGTGATCAGCTGTAGTTTGTTTTTTAATTCCTACCTTTCTGGGTGCCTGACCTAGTAGATGGCAGACAAAAGATTGCTTCCAATTACACAGGGGTGTCTTTAGGCCATTGCTCCTCGTGCTTTTTCTTGAGGGGGGCCAGGTTCTGGCTCTGGTCCCCGGTTGGCCTATTACTCCTTCAATTGACTGTTGCCATGGTCTACTACATACACATCAGCCCGGTATAGCTCTGCGGAGCCAAAGGGGCTCTCCACAGAAAATAGGTTAATAGACAAAAATAGTTAAGAACCCTTACTCGATCATGGAGCATAGCATAGATAATCATAGTTATGCAAGTGATGGGCATGGAACATTACCTTAAGAATACAAATTTGTTTTAATGGTTATCTATGGCTTTGTACAAATCTTAATTAAGATAAACTGACCAATTGGAATATCTCTTCTGAATATCCTGTGGTCTCCCCTCATGTACTCCACGTCTACCATAATGGGAGCAGAATATGTTATGTCCCGCAGTCGGCATTCGTGAGGTGCTGTTTCTTTGATGATATTCATTCCTTCTTCAATGTTTGGCTTACCAACACGTACATCCATGAACCTGAAAAATTTAATAAGTAAATATGTATGAAAATAAAGATTGCTTTACCAATTTTAATACAAATTGTATTCCTCTTTTTTTTTTTGTCTAGTAAGTAGGGTTAGAAAACCAGCGTTGAATGTAATGAAACGCCATTTTCTAGGCAAGTCCCGGAGGCTCCACGGAGCTATCCAGGCTGATATTGCTAATGTCAAACTTTGGCATCAGTCATGTGTATGGAGTTCTTTAGGCCTACCGGGGACCACTACCCAATACCTGGCCCCCTCACAGAGGCACGAGGAGCAATAAACCCCCTTGTGGTTGGAAGCATTCTATGTCTGCCATCAACCGGGTCAGGCACCCAGAAAGGTAAGCATTCCAAAACAAACCCCTATTCTGGTTAAGAAATTTCTACTGAGCTGAACTAGTGGACAGAACTCCCAAAATAAAAACGAGCTAACGAGCATGATGTCACCACGTCGCCCTCTGCGCAGCTCCTCCCTCCCAGGGAGGGGGGAAGGGGGAGCCCCAGACCCCTTGTGCCGGCTACCCAAGAACCCAGTTCTGAGGCTGGATATCAAAACATGCGAAAAACTGCCGACCGGAGGGAGGAAGGGTTGCCGGGGAGCCTCAGGGTCTTGTCCAGAAAATGGCGTTTCATACATTCAACGCTGGTTTTCTGGGGAAAGCCCCATCAGCTCCTCGGAGATATCAACCAAAAGATGAAAACAAGAGGGCTCTAACTCGGGAGGTGGTCGTTGCTCCCTCCCCAACGTGAAACGGAGACAAAAGGCTACAACCACCAACCCAAGACCACACAGGCCTGACAAGGCTCAGGAACATCAGCTTAGGAACGCATAGCCAACCTACAAACATCGTGGGCACGGGGAAAGACTGCAGGCTGGCTGATCCGAACCACCCCGCAGACGACCCGAGAGAACCTCAACCCTGGAACAGGGAAGAAGAGAAACTGGAGCAGCCCAATGCGCGACCGTGGGCACACAAAGAACGGGGAAGTGCCACAACTGAACACAACACATGATGCACCCCCGTCCTGACCAACAACCCAAGGACCCCTCCGGAAAGCAGTCGTGTCAGTCTTCGCCAGAGAGAGAGAGACAGTTGCAAGCGAATAAACCTATCACATGTACCAAAACAGCAAAACAATGGCGCCGGAGGAGAGCATGAAGCACCCCGACCCAACCCCCAGAGGCCAACGCCGACAAGAAAAGAGCCTTGGAAAACAATCCAGAACCGAAGGGACCACAACAAACCGAGGAGAAGAGAAGAGAGCACCCAATCCAAGAACCAGGATGGCTCAAGTGGTGCAAGAGCAGGCTGGAAGTGAGCCACACCAGAGACAGTTTGCAAATTAGTGCAGAGGGAACACCAAAACCGAAGCAACCCGGAACAGCTCTGCCAGCGCTGCACGAGACAAGGCGACAGTATGTGGCAAGATGACGGCCCGGAATCTCCATAAGAGAAGGACAAGACCACGCCAACAAAACGCAGCAAACCTATGAAGGGACAAGAAAAAGGAAGGACCGCCAAAAAAACCCACACCGCTGCCGAGATGAAGCATGCAGGTGGGATACCATCAACGAAGCCACCTGAACACCAACAGATGGTGAGAGACGCGAGGCAGAACCGAACCCGCCCCACCATGGACCAACCGAGCATGGGAAGAGGCGGAGCAGTGGGAAAATCTCAGATGCGAACACCAAGCCGGCAAGGAACCAGACGGAATGTCTGCCATACAAAAAACTTCCCAATGCTAGCGAGCCCGTCAGGTGATCGAAGACACTGTGGTTTCGACACGAGACTCTTGAGAAGTGACACTGCGAGATCAGGAACGCACCAACTGGCAGGGTAAGCCAGAAAACTAGGAACCCAAACCCGACAAGCCAGGAAAGAACCAACCCCGGCGAGCAGACAATCCTCCGGGATCCCAGAAGGACCAACAAGTCTGACAACGGATGACAACTAGAAGCCGCCAACAGAATAACACTGAACCGCAGACGCCGCAAACAGCAAGGACAAAATTGCGACGAAAAATGAAAAGCCAGGGCCCAAGTGGAGGCCAACGAGGAAGCGAGCACCACGAACCACAACGCAAAGTGGAAAAACAGGGACGCCGCATCCTGCAGGAGTGGCAAACACAGCCCCAGCAGGGCAGAACGAAGCAGGCAGTATGAGGAGAACTAACCAGGACATGAACAGCACGAAAGCAAAAATGCCCAGCCCGAAAGAACACACAGAAAAAGGCCGGAGCCAGGGCCTGAAACCTAGCACCTCCCGGCCCAACAAGAAACTGCAGGGGCAGGAGAGAAGGAACGGAAGCCACATCCACCTGCATACAGGGCAACCCAGAAGCAGGAAGTGCCAAACAAGGAGAAGAAGAAAACTCAGGGCCATAACCGAACACAGGGGCGGTGCAAAAGCAGGGAACTGAACATGGACAAAGTCCAACCTAGCACGAACATTAGTAGAGCCAAGAAGCACATACGAAAACACACAACAATGTGTAGCAGGGAATTTGGAAAAACGGAAAAATGCAAGAAAATGACCAGAAAGATAGTCCAAACACCAGCAGCTAGGGACAAGAGTGTAGAAGGAATATGAGGAACGAAGAAGACAGGCAGTAATCGGGAACGAAATGGACAAAACCTACTACACACAGAGAATCCAATGTACATGGAAGGGCTCAGCCAGGCACTGCACGACAGTCAAGGAATGAGTGTCATAGGCAAGAAAAGACCCAGGCACAGAAGACTGAAGTAAGATCTCGAAAGACGGGACCATGTCCCACCGTGGAACGAATAACACAGATGGACAAGGAAGGTCACGGGAAGAAGCATGCAAAGGGCCAAACAAAACTCCACAACCAATCCCCAACACTCATCCAAAAACCACGAACCAGCACCTGGCCGATTCCTAATTGGAATCACTTTGAAATATGCCATATTACGTGTTATCTTATGATCTCTATTATTCACTGTTACCATAATCCCTTTTACACTGAACACTATATAGTTTGTGTCATATGGCATATCTAGCTTTCCCTCTTTTCTTTTTAACTAGAATGTTATATCTAAGCTTATTGATACCATGCCTCAGAACCCTTTCTGACATATTGATACATTTCTTCAGATAAAGTCACTATCCACATGACTAAATGCTAATGAAGATGTTCAGAAGTTAACATTTACCTTAATCTAGCTGGTAAATTTATATGAAACTTGGAAACATTCTATACAGCCAATGTAAATACATTATATATATATATAGAGAGAGAATAACAATTACATACAGAATACAGTAGGTTACTAGAGAAAGATTTTAGATTTTGCAAAGGAGAAAAGATACAAAGAAACTTACTTCACATAAAACAGAGGATCCACATCACTTATAACCCTGCTGTTTGCCTTGACAATATTCTTGATATCTACATTTATGAAATAATTGAAAGAATCAATATGTTGCTTGACTAGACCTTTTACACGCAGAAAAGCTGGCACCAATTTCCATTTGTCCTAAGGAGAAAATAAAATAAAATCACTAAAATACAGTAATGTACAACCGTCAATGCATGGATTTTTTTTACCGATATGCAATACTGTACATGGTATTTTGAAGCTTGATAACATCATCTGTGTAATAAAAAAGAAACTGAATTTCACAAATATGCATTCATGTAAATGGACAAGTGATTAACAAATCTCAATAATGCAAAACAGGGTCACGGGAACTAAACTAGAAGAAGAGATGTCTTACATAAGGGGGAATACCATTTAAATTAGGCCTATGGCAGATGAGTTATCATGAGAATGGTCAGGTGGTGTGTCTTCTGAAAAGTCTAGAGGCCAAGGCTCAGACTGTTTGAAGACCGGCACCAGACACTACTACATTCAGTGTCACATTATGGGACCCAGTAAGCATCTGGGTCATCTTAACATCTGATTTTTATATGCAATGCAGCATGATATTTATTTTTGGTGTGGAGAGTTTCTCAGGTGCAGTAATATGGACAAAATAACTTTTACTGTCAGCAATATGGTGTTTTCTGCACTAGTATTTGGACACAGATGGAGTTTCACCATGGGTCTGAGATAATGTGCATCTGAGGTCAGCATTCCAATTCACCTGATCTTTCAGGCATCCCTGTGTACAGGAGTCGTAGCAGACGTGTGGAAACAGGCTAACATAGTTTCAATCTACAAAAGTGTCAACAGGGAAGACCCCTCAATTATAGACCTGTATCACTGACAAGTGTAATAGTGAAAGTATTGGAAAAACTAATAAAAACTTAATGGGTAGAACACCTGGAGAGAAATGATATAATATCAGACAGACAGTATGGTTTTCGGTCTGGAAGATTCTGTGTATCGAATTTACTCAGTTTCTATGATCGAGCCACAGAGATTTTACAGGAAAGAGATGGTTGGGTTGACTGCATCTATCTGAACCTAAAAAAGGCTTTCGACAGAGTTCCACATAAGAGGTTGTTATGGAAACTGGAAAATATTGGAGGGGTTACAGGTAAGTTTCTAACATGGATGAAAAATTTTCTGACTGATAGAAAGATGAGGGCAGTAATCAGAGGCAATGTATCGGACTGGAGAAATGTCACAAGTGGAGTTCCACAGGGTTCTTGCACCAGTGATTTTTATTGTCTACATAAATGATCTACCAGTTGGTATACAGAATTATATGAACATGTTTGCTGATGATGCTAGGATAATAAGAAGGATAAGAAACTTAGATGATTGTCATGCCCTTCAACAAGACCTGGACAAAATAAGTATATGGAGCACCACTTGGCAAATGGAATTTAATGTTAATAAATGCCAAGTTATGGAATGTGGAATAGGAGAACATAGACCCCACACAACCTATATATTATATGAGAAATCTTTAAAGAATTCTGATAAAGAAAGATCTAGAAGTGGTTCTAGATAGAAAAGTATCACCCGAGGACCACATAAAGAACATTGTGCGAGGAGCCTATGCCACGCTTTCTAACTTCAGAATTGCTTTTAAATACATGGATGGCGATATACTAAAGAAATTGTTCACGACTTTTGTTCAGTCAAAGCTAGAATATGCAGCGGTTGTGTGGTGCCCATATCTTAAGAAGCACATCAACAAACTGGAAAAGGTGCAAAGACATGCTACTAAGTGGCTCTCAAAACTGAAGGACAAGATCTACGAGGAGAGGTTAGAGGCATTCAATATGCCAAAACTAGAAGACGGGAGAGAAAGGGGTGATATGATCACTACGTACAAAACAGTAACAGGAATTGATAAAATCAATAGGGAAGATTTCCTGAGACCTGGAACTTCAAGAACAAGAGGTCATAGATTTAAACTAGCTAAACACAAATGCCGAAGAAATATAAGAAAATTCACTTTCGCAAACAGAGTGGTAGACGGTTGGAACAAGTTAGGTGAGAAGATGGTGGAGGCCAAGACCATCAGTAGTTTCAAAGCGTTATATGACAAAATGTTGGGAAGACAGGACACCACGAGCATAGCTCTCATCCTGTAACTACACTTAGGTAATTACATCATATTACAGCTAGTGTGCATTAATTCTTCATAGATGCCTACCAGTGTGTCAGCTTAAACTAAAGGAATCTTAAATCTGCCAAAGATAAAAAAAATGATTCATTTTGAACAGTTTTATTTTGAAAATTGAGTAATTTTTTCCATATGATCTTCCTTATTAACACGTTACTACGTTACTGTGGTAAAAATACAGCTGAACGTATTATTTTTTTTTAATGTTTTACCAAACAATATAGGAAATCAACATTTTTAAAACTGATCATGTTTAAGGACCCAATAAGGGCTACTCTACCCTACAATCTTCTAATTACCTGAAGGTTACCAACTCTGGCCTCAATGAGGACAGAAAGCCAGCAGTTTATCAAAGGTCCCCCCCATTCATTCTGATGATTTTATCAGGTTGGACTTTAAAATTCAGCAGTTTTGGCATTTACGGCTTTTAGCAGGTAGGTAGCTCTATGGGTTAACCTTGTGGGTGAAAAAGAATCTCCTGTTCTCAATCCTAAATTGTGGCTTGTCGAGCTTGAAACCACTGCTCCTTGTTTTTTTTTTTGTTTTTTTTTTTTTTTAGATATATACAAGAGTTGTTACATTCTTGTACAGCCACTAGTACGCGTAGCGTTTCGGGCAGGTCCCTGGAATACGATCCCCGCCGCGAAGAATCGTTGTTACAACCAAGTACACATTTTACTGTTGAGTTAAACAGAGGCTACAGTTAAGGATTTGCGCCCAGTAAATCCTCCCCGGCCAGGATACGAACCCATGACAAAGCGCTCGTGGAACGCCAGGCGAGTGTCTTACCACTACACCACGGAGACTGTAGACTGTTTGTGTTGCACATGATCTTTTGAAGAAATTGTTTGGATCAATAGCCTCCAAATTTTTCAGTATTTTTAAAGATTTGATGAGATCTTCCCTGTCATGTTTGGTTTGCGATGTTTTTAGCCCTGTGGCTCTCAGTCGTTCCTAGTACGAAAATCGATTTAGTTCTGGAATTATTTTTGTTGCCCAGTGTTGAACTTTCTTCAAAGTAGTTGTCTTGGAGATGACGAGGCCTCCATGCTGGTCAATACCTGGAAAATATTGGAGGGGTTACAGGTAAGTTTCTAACATGGATGAAAAATTTTCTGACTGATAGAAAGATGAGGGCAGTAATCAGAGGCAATGTATCGGACTGGAGAAATGTCACAAGTGGAGTTCCACAGGGTTCTTGCACCAGTGATTTTTATTGTCTACATAAATGATCTACCAGTTGGTATACAGAATTATATGAACATGTTTGCTGATGATGCTAGGATAATAAGAAGGATAAGAAACTTAGATGATTGTCATGCCCTTCAACAAGACCTGGACAAAATAAGTATATGGAGCACCACTTGGCAAATGGAATTTAATGTTAATAAATGCCAAGTTATGGAATGTGGAATAGGAGAACATAGACCCCACACAACCTATATATTATATGAGAAATCTTTAAAGAATTCTGATAAAGAAAGATCTAGAAGTGGTTCTAGATAGAAAAGTATCACCCGAGGACCACATAAAGAACATTGTGCGAGGAGCCTATGCCACGCTTTCTAACTTCAGAATTGCTTTTAAATACATGGATGGCGATATACTAAAGAAATTGTTCACGACTTTTGTTCAGTCAAAGCTAGAATATGCAGCGGTTGTGTGGTGCCCATATCTTAAGAAGCACATCAACAAACTGGAAAAGGTGCAAAGACATGCTACTAAGTGGCTCTCAAAACTGAAGGACAAGATCTACGAGGAGAGGTTAGAGGCATTCAATATGCCAAAACTAGAAGACGGGAGAGAAAGGGGTGATATGATCACTACGTACAAAATAGTAACAGGAATTGATAAAATCAATAGGGAAGATTTCCTGAGACCTGGAACTTCAAGAACAAGAGGTCATAGATTTAAACTAGCTAAACACAAATGCCGAAGAAATATAAGAAAATTCACTTTCGCAAACAGAGTGGTAGACGGTTGGAACAAGTTAGGTGAGAAGATGGTGGAGGCCAAGACCATCAGTAGTTTCAAAGCGTTATATGACAAAATGTTGGGAAGACAGGACACCACGAGCATAGCTCTCATCCTGTAACTACACTTAGGTAATTACATCATATTACAGCTAGTGTGCATTAATTCTTCATAGATGCCTACCAGTGTGTCAGCTTAAACTAAAGGAATCTTAAATCTGCCAAAGATAAAAAAAATGATTCATTTTGAACAGTTTTATTTTGAAAATTGAGTAATTTTTTCCATATGATCTTCCTTATTAACACGTTACTACGTTACTGTGGTAAAAATACAGCTGAACGTATTATTTTTTTTTTAATGTTTTACCAAACAATATAGGAAATCAACATTTTTAAAACTGATCATGTTTAAGGACCCAATAAGGGCTACTCTACCCTACAATCTTCTAATTACCTGAAGGTTACCAACTCTGGCCTCAATGAGGACAGAAAGCCAGCAGTTTATCAAAGGTCCCCCCCATTCATTCTGATGATTTTATCAGGTTGGACTTTAAAATTCAGCAGTTTTGGCATTTACGGCTTTTAGCAGGTAGGTAGCTCTATGGGTTAACCTTGTGGGTGAAAAAGAATCTCCTGTTCTCAATCCTAAATTGTGGCTTGTCGAGCTTGAAACCACTGCTCCTTGTTTTTTTTTTTTTTTTTTTTTTTTTTTTGAGATATATACAAGAGTTGTTACATTCTTGTACAGCCACTAGTACGCGTAGCGTTTCGGGCAGGTCCCTGGAATACGATCCCCCGCCGCGAAGAATCGTTGTTACAACCAAGTACACATTTTACTGTTGCGTTAAACAGAGGCTACAGTTAATGATTTGTGCCCCGTAAATCCTCCCCGGCCAGGATACGAACCCATGACAAAGCGCTCGTGGAACGCCAGGCGAGTGTCTTACCACTACACCACGGAGACTGTAGACTGTTTGTGTTGCACATGATCTTTTGAAGAAATTGTTTGGATCAATAGCCTCCAAATTTTTCAGTATTTTTAAAGATTTGATGAGATCTTCCCTGTCATGTTTGGTTTGCGATGTTTTTAGCCCTGTGGCTCTCAGTCGTTCCTAGTACGAAAATCGATTTAGTTCTGGAATTATTTTTGTTGCCCAGTGTTGAACTTTCTTCAAAGTAGTTGTCTTGGAGATGACGAGGCCTCCATGCTGGTCAATACAATAATCTAAGTGGGAGCACACCACAGATTTATACAGCATCGAGAAACAAAAATCATTCCAGAGCCAAGTCATCTCACGTATCAGCAACGGTCGAGGGCCACAGGGCTAACAACACTGCAAACCAGGCATGACAGGGTGGATCTCATTGAAACTTAAAATACAGTACTGAAAGAGTTGGAGGATGCCGATGCGGAAAATTTTTTCATAAGATCAGATGTAATACAAACAAGGAACAATGGTTTCAAGCTCAACAAGCCACAATATAGGACTGAGGGTTATTACCACAAGAACCACTGTTTACCCACAGGGGTTATTAACTCATGGAACCACTTACCTGCCGAAGCTGTAAATGCCAATGTTAACTTATAAAGTACAGCTGGAGGAGATCATGAAGGCAAATGCCACCTGCCACCTTCTACATGCAGGCAGCTTCCTGTCCTTGTCGAGACCACTAATGTTAGTGGCTCTCGGGGTAAATTCAGGTAAAATACAGTTGAACAAGTACAGTACAGTACTTCCTTTTTGTTGAAGTCAAAGGTTTGCCTGACTATTCCTAGGGTTCGGTTAACTTTTTTTACTGCTGCTCCCACTTGTTGTGCAACTTTTAATGAATGGTGCATTCTGAATCTAAGGTCATTTCCTTCGTCAATCTGCTGCAAGGTAATGTTAATTTGGTAACGGTGACTTGCATTGTTATGCCCCCGCATGCAAGGTCTTGCATACAGATCTATGGAGCAGTGCACTATGTTGATATAGCTCTGAAGCTCTGTTGCCTACCTATCATATACATCTTAACTTTGCAAGATTGAACTCTTGGCGGATACTTCGCAAACTAAGTACAATAGATCATAGCCCCCCTACCTCATACATTGGGAGTTAACTATGCCCGTAATGGATACCTCCGGGACTATGCCAGGCTCAAGTCCTTGGAGACTATGGGCGGTCCGTTTAATTACCACAAGCTACACAAAGCTTCCTGGCAATACGTTAGTAATGAATAAATGATATATTTACTCATAATGTTGGTGCTGAATGTACTACACGAAAAAACAATTTTAATCTTAAAAAGTATCTTTTTATAAAGAAATTAGACGAAAATAAAGAGCTGGTGACGCCAAATCAAGTCGACGATCCAAGCGTCGGTTAGGTTAGGTTAGGTAAGGTTAGGTCAGCCTAACCTATCATATTTATCCATTACTAACGTATTGCCAGTCAGCTTTGTGAAGCTTGTGTAGCTTGTGGTTATTAGAGAGACCCACTATGCCAACCCAGTCCCTTAGTGGAAACCATGGAGCATGGGGCCTAGCTCCTAGGGAATACTTTGGAGACCAAACCAGGCCCAAGCCCAGCGAATACCTCGGCATAAGCTAGGCAAAACTCTTACCTGACTATGTTCATTAAAACGTCAAGATCATACCTCAATAGACTTTACGGGTGCCCCCAGGGTGCTGGGGTCGAGGTGTGCCCACTCGGGCACCAGGCTGCCCATCACTGTCTCCCCCATCACGGCTCCTCAACACAACCTCTCTCAATATAACCACTACACGTCAGCGTGTAGGCACTCCCTTTCCTTGATGGTAGTGTGTGTGTTGCTGCTGTAGGGACGAGCAGCAGCTCCTGGCAGTGTCCTGTGTGACCCTTGGAGGCTCCTGACGAGGCAGCAAGGCGTCCTACGGGTGCCGGTCCGACAGGTTTCCTCCTCCAAAATGATTCAGAATTAATGATTTCCGACTCAATGTGCTTGGAAACGGATGGGTGGGAGGATGAGGAACTGAATGTCTGTTAGAGGATGTGGATGAGGGAGGCGGAGGCTTGGATGTTGTTGTTGTGGAGTGTTAAGGAGCTGCCTGATGAGTACACGTGTGGGCCGCTGGATACTCCAGGGTTGCCAGATCCAAATTGCTAAAAGTAGCGAATTTGTAATAAGAGTAGCCCAATTTTTTGTTTAATGGCTGATACAGGTTTCAAAGTAATACATTTTGATATATAGAGTACATTTAAAAATTTTAATTGTTTTATTAATATTATCTATTTTTATTATATATATATTATATATATATATATATATATATATATATTCTCATATATATATATAAGCCAAGTATATATATTTTCTCTATATATATATTTCATATATAGGTCATTTTTTTTATATTATATATGACCGAACCTAACCAACCCTACCTATATGTCGTACCTAATAGCCAGAACGCACTTCTCAGCCTACTATTCAAGGCCCGATTTGCCTAATAAGCCAAGTTTTCATGAATTAATGTTTTTTCGTCTACCTAACCTACCTAACCTAACCTAACCTAGCTTTTTTTGGCTACCTAACCTAACCTTACCTATAAATATAGGTTAGGTTAGGTTAGGTAGGGTTGGTTAGGTTCGGTCATATATCTACGTTAATTTTAACTCCAATAAAAAAAAATTGACCTCATACATAGAGAAAAGGGTTGCTTTATCATTTCATAAGAAAAAAATTATAGTAAATATATTAATTCAGGAAAACTTGGCTTATTAGGCAAATCGGGCCTTGAATAGTAGGCTGAAAAGTGAGTTCTGGCTACTAGGTACGACATATATATATATATATATATATATATATGTCGTACCTAGTAGCCAGAACTCACTTCTCAGCCTACTATTCAAGGCCCGATTTGCCTAATAAGCCAAGTTTTCCTGAATTAATATATTTACTATAATTTTTTTCTTATGAAATGATAAAGCAACCCTTTTCTCTATGTATGAGGTCAATTTTTTTTTATTGGAGTTAAAATTAACGTAGATATATGACCGAACCTAACCAACCCTACCTAACCTAACCTAACCTATATTTATAGGTAAGGTTAGGTTAGGTAGCCAAAAAAAGCTAGGTTAGGTTAGGTTAGGTAGGTTAGGTAGACGAAAAACATTAATTCATGAAAACTTGGCTTATTAGGCAAATCGGGCCTTGAATAGTAGGCTGAGAAGTGCGTTCTGGCTATTAGGTACGACATATATATATATATATATATATATATATATATATATATATATATATATATATATAATATATATATATATATGTCGTACCTAGTAGCCAGAACGCACTTCTCAGCCTACTATGCAAGGCCCGATTTGCCTAATAAGCCAAGTTTTCATGAATTAATTGTTTTTCGACTACCTAACCTACCTAACCTAAACCTAACCTAACTTTTTCGGCTACCTAACCTAACCTAACCTATAGAGATAGGTTAGGTTAGGTTAGGTAGGGTTGGTTAGGTTCGGTCATATATCTACGTTAATTTTAACTTCAATAAAAAAAATTGACCTCATACATAATGAAATGGGTAGCTTTATCATTTCATAAGAAAAAAATTAGAGAAAATATATTATTCAGGAAAACTTGGCTTATTAGGCAAATTGGGCCTTGCATAGCAGGCCGAGTACGACGTTCTGGCTACTAGGTACAACATATATATATATATATATATATATATATATATATATATGTATATATGCAATTGACGATCACAAAACACTGATCATTTTATGCGGAAAATCCACAGAGAAATATGAAATGAGGTGAACGTTTCGGCTTTGTTAAAGCCTTTGTCAACACCAGACTGACTGAGTCTGGTGAGTCTGAGTGAGTCAGTCTGGTGTTAACAAAGGCTTTAACAAAGCCGAAACGTTCACCTCATTTCATATTTCTCTGTGGATTTTCCGCATATGTATATATATATGTCGTACATAGTAGCCAGAACGCACTTCTCACCCTACTATGCAAGGCCCGATTTGCCTAATAAGCCAAGTTTTCCTGAATTTATATATTTTCTCTATTTTTTTCTTATGAAATGATAAAGCTACCCATTTCATTATGTATGAGGTCAATTTTTTTTATTGGAGTTAAAATTAACGTAGATATATGACCGAACCTAACCAACCCTACCTAACCTAACCTAACCTATCTTTATAGGTTAGGTTTTGTTAGGTAGCCAAAAAGTTAGGTTAAGTTAGGTAGTCGAAAAAACATTAATTCATGAAAACTTGGCTTATTAGGCAAATCGGGCCTTGCATAGTAGGCTGAGAAGTGCGTTCTGGCTACTATGTACGACATATATATATATATATATATATATATATATATATATATATATATATATATATATATATATATATATATATATATATATGTCGTACCTAGTAGCCAGAACGCACTTCTCTGCCTACTATGCAAGGCCCGATTTGCCTAATAAGCCAAGTTTTCATGAATTAATTATTTTTCGGCTACCTAACCTACCTAACCTAACCTAACCTAGCTTTTTCAGCTACCTAACCTAACCTAACCTATAAAGATAGGTTTGGTTAGGTTAGGTAGGGTTGGTTAGGTTCGGTCATATAACTACATTAATTTTAACTCCAATAAAAAAAAATTGACCTTATACATAATGAAATTGGTAGCTTTATCATTTCAAAAGAAAAAAATTAGAGAAAATATATTAATTCAGGAAAACTTGGCTTATTAGGCAAATTGGGCCTTGCATAGTAGGCTGAGAAGTGCGTTCTGGCTACTAGGTACGACATATATATATATATATATATATATATATATATATATATATATATATATATATATATATATATATATATATGTCGTACCTAGTAGCCAGAACTCACTTCTATGCCTACTATGCAAGGCCAGATTTGCCTAATAAGCCAAGTTTTCATGAATTAATTGTTTTTCTCTAAACTTTTTCTTATGAAATGATAAATCTACCCATTTCATTATGCATGAGGTCAATTTTTTTTTATTGGAGTTTAAATTAACGTAGATATATGACCAAACCTAACCAACCCTACCTAACCTAACCTAACCTATCTTTATAGGTTAGGTTAGGTTAGGTAGCCGAAAAAGTTAGGTTAGGTTAGGTTAGGTAGGTTAGGTAGTCGAAAAACAATTAATTCATGAAAACTTGGCTTATTAGGCAAATTAGGCCTTGCATAGTAGGCTGAGAAGTGAGTTCTGGCTACTAGGTACGACATATATATATATATATATATATATATATATATATATATATATATATATATATATATATACATATATATATATATGTCGTACCTAGTAGCCAGAACGCACTTCTCAGCCTACTATGCAAGGCCCGATTTGCCTAATAAGCCAAGTTTTCATGAATTAATTGTTTTTCGACTACCTAACCTACCTAACCTAACCTAACCTAACTTTTTCGGCTACCTAACCTAACCTAACCAATAAAGATAGGTTAGGTTAGGTTAGGTAGGGTTGGTTAGGTTCGGTCATATATCTACGTTATTTTTAACTCCAATAAAAAAAAATTGACCTCATACATAACGAAATGGGTAGCTTTATCATTTCATAAGAAAAAAATTAGAGAAAATATATTAATTCATGAAAACTTGGCTTATTAGGCAAATCGGGCCTTGAATAGTAGGCATAGAAGTGCGTTCTGGCTATTAGGTACGACATATATATATATATATATATATATATATATATATTACATTTTCAAAGACTTTACACATACACAACTGAATAGAACTTACATATCTCCGATTTGTTTATATCTACATTTGAGTGAGGTGGATGGGGTGAGGTGGTATTTAATAGGGTATTAATTTCATCAACACAAGACAGAACACGAAACAATGGGTATTGAAATGGAAGTGATTGTAGAAAGCCTATTGGTCCATATTTCTTGATGCTTCTATATTGGAGCGGAGTCTTGAGGTGGGTAGAATATAGTTGTGCATTAATTGGCTGTTGATTGCTGGTGTTGACTTCTTAATGTGCAGTGCCTCGCAAACGTCAAGCCGTCTACTATCGCTGTATCTATCGATGATTTCTGTGTTGTTTACTAGGATTTCTCTGGCGATGGTTTGGTTGTGGGAAGAGATTATATGTTCCTTAATGGAGCCCTGTTGCTTATGCATCGTTAAACGCCTAGAAAGAGATGTTGTTGTCTTGCCTATATACTGGGTTTTTTGGAGCTTACAGTCCCCAAGTGGGCATTTGAAGGCATAGACGACGTTGGTCTCTTTTAAAGCGTTCTGCTTTGTGTCTGAAGAGTTTCTCATGAGTAGGCTGGCCGTTTTTCTGGTTTTATAGTAAATCGTCAGTTGTATCCTCTGATTTTTGTCTGTAGGGATAACGTTTCTATTAACAATATCTTTCAGGACCCTTTCCTCCGTTTTATGAGCTGTGGAAAAGAAGTTCCTGTAAAATAGTCTAATAGGGGTATAGGTGTTGTGTTAGTTGTCTCTTCAGAGGTTGCATGGCGTTTCACTTTCCTTCTTATGATGTCTTCGACGAAACCATTGGAGAAGCCGTTGTTGACTAGGACCTGCCTTACCCTACAGAGTTCTTCGTCGACTTGCTTCCATTCTGAGCTGTGGCTGAGAGCACGGTCGACATATGCGTTAACAACACTCCTCTTGTACCTGTCTGGGCAGTCGCTGTTGGCATTTAGGCACATTCCTATGTTCGTTTCCTTAGTGTAGACTGCAGTGTGGAAACCTCCGCTCTTTTCCATGACTGTTACATCTAGAAAGGGCAGCTTCCCATCCTTTTCCATCTCGTAAGTGAAACGCAGCACGGAACTCTGCTCAAATGCCTCCTTCAGCTCCTGCAGATGTCTGACATCAGGTACCTGTGTAAAAATGTCGTCAACATACCTGCAGTATATGGCCGGTTTCAAGTTCATGTCGACTAAGACTTTTTGCTCGATGGTACCCATGTAGAAGTTTGCAAACAGGACACCTAGGGGAGAACCCATGGCGACCCCATCTACTTGCTTATACATGTGCCCATCCGGGCTCAAGAAGGGTGCCTCTTTAGTACAAGCTTGGAGTAGTTTATATATATATATATATATA